ATGGAGGCTTAGAGCAGAGCCGGCACTCAGATAGCGCCGGCTCTGCGTGAGCCGACATGGGAGATCGGGAGATCTCCCCTGCCAGCAGGGTACAAGTCCTGTGGAATAATGTGTGGGAACTCTCCCAAGATTCCCACCCCCCCAAAAAAAATATTGTGTGTGTGGCTGCTAGTGAGTGAGCTTGTGTGTGTGCGACTGCTAGTGTGAGTGAGCGTGTGTTTGTCTGCTAGTGACTGAGCATGTGTGTGCCTGCTCCTGAGTGAGCTTGTGTGTGTGTGTGGCTGCTAGTGAGTGAGCTTGTGTATGTGTGTGCATGCTAGTGAATGAGCTTGTGTGTGTGTATGCTAGTGAGTGAGTAAGCTTGCGTGTGTATGCTAGTGAGTGAGTAAGCTTGCGTGTGTGGCTACTAGTGAGTGAGGTTGTGTGTGCCTGCTCCTGAGTGAGCTTGTGTGTGCATGCTAGTTAGTGAGTGAACTTGTGTGTGTGTGCCTGAACCTGAGTGAGCTTCTGTGTGTGGCTGCTAGTGAGTTAGCTTGTTTGTGTGGCTGCTAGTGAGTGAGCTTGTGTGTGTGTGTGTGGCCGCTAGTGAGTGAGCTTGTGTGTTTGTATGTGTGGCTGCTAGTGAGTGAGCATGTGTGTGTGCCTGCTCCTGAGTGAGCTTGTGTGTGTGTGGCTGCTAGTGAGTGAGCTTGTGATTGTGTATGTGTGTGCATGCTAGTGAGTGAGCTTGTGTTTGTGTGTCTTCTAGTGAGTGAGCTTGTGTGTATGGCTGCTAGTGAGTGAGCTTGTGTGTGTGTGTGCCTGCTAATGAGTGAGCTTGTGTATGTGCATGCTAGTGAGTGAGTAAGCTTGTGTGTGTGGTTACTAGTGAGTGAGGTTGTGGGTGTGCCTGCTCCTGAATGAGCTTGTGTGTATGTGTGTGCATGCTAGTGAGTGAGTGAACTTGTGTGTGTGTGTGTGTGCCTGTTCCTGAGTGAGCTTGTGTGTGTGTGGCTGCTAGTGAGTGAGCTTGTGTGTGTGCCTGCTAGTGAGATTGTGTGTGTGTGTGTGCCTGCTCATGATTGAGCTTGTGTGTGCCTACATGTGAGTGGGCTCATGTGTGTGAGCTTGTTTGTGTGCCTGCTAGTGAGTGAGCTTGTGTGTGTGTGGCTACTATTGAATGAGCTTGTGATTGTGTATGTGTGTGCATGCTAGTGAGTGAGCTTGTGTTTGTGTGTCTTCTAGTGAGTGAGCTTGTGTGTATGGCTGCTAGTGAGTGAGCTTGTATGTGTGTGCATGCTAGTGAGTGAGCTTGTGTGTGTGTGTGCCTGCTAATGAGTGAGCTTGTGTATGTGCATGCTAGTGAGTGAGTAAGCTTGTGTGTGTGGTTACTAGTGAGTGAGGTTGTGTGTGTGCCTGCTCCTGAATGAGCTTGTGTGTATGTGTGTGCATGCTAGTGAATGAGTGAACTTGTGTGTGTGTGTGCCTGTTCCTGAGTGAGCTTGTGTGTGTGTGTGGCTGCTAGTGAGTGAGCTTGTGTGTGTGCCTGCTAGTGAGCTTGTGATTGTGTGTGTGTGTGCATGCTAGTGAGTGAGCTTGTGTGTGTGTGCCTGCTCATGATTGAGCTTGTGTGTGCCTACATGTGAGTGGGCTCATGTGTGTGAGCTTGTTTGTGTGCCTGCTAGTGAGTGAGCTTGTGTGTGTGGCTACTAGTGAATGAGCTTGTGTGTGCCTGCTCTGAGCTTGTGTGTGTGCCTGCTCCTGAGTGAGCTTGTGTGTGTGCCTGCTCCTAAGTGAGCTTGTGTGTGTGCTTGGTGGCTGTGTGCTGCTAGTGAGTGAGCTTGTGTGTGTGTGCCTTCTAGTGAGTGAGCTTGTGTGTGTCTGTGTGTGCATGCTAGTGAGCTTGTGTGTGTGTGCCTGCTAGTGAGTGAGCTTGTGTGTGTGTGGCTGATAGTGAGTGAGCTTGTGTGTGCATGCTAGTGAGCTTGTGTGTGTGTGCCTGCTCCTGAGTTTGCTTGTGTGTGTGTGTGTGCCTGCTCCTGAGTGAGCTTGTGTGTGTGGCTGCTAGTGAGTGAGCTTGTGTATATGTGTGCATGCTAGTAAGTGAGATTGTGTGTGTGCCTGCTAGTGAGTGAGCATGTGTGTGTGCCTGCTAGTGAATTAGTGTGTGTGTGTATGCCTGCTAGTGAGTGAGCTTTGTGTGTATGCCTGCTCCTGAGTGAGCTTGTTTGTGTGTGGCTGCCAGTGAGTGAGCTTGTGTGTGTTTTTATGTGTGCCTTTTAGTGAGTGAGCTTGTGTGTGTATGTGTGTGCATGCTAGTGAGTGAGCTTGTGTGTGTGCCTGCTAGTGAGTGAGCTTGTGTGTGGCTGCTAGTGAGTGCGCTTTTGTGTGTGTGTGTGTGTGTGTGTGTTTGCATGCTAGTGAGTGAGTGAGATTGTGTGTGCCTACTAGTGAGTGCGCTCATGTGTGCGAGCTTGTTTGTGTGGCTGCTGGTGAGTGAGCTTGTGTGTGTGCCTGCTAGTGAGTGAGCTTGTGTGTGTGGCTACTAGTGAGTGAGCTTGTGTGTGTGTGTGGCTACTAGTGAGTGAGCTTGTGTGTGTGGCTGCTAGTAAGTGAGCTTGTGTGTTGCTGCTAGTGAGTGAAATTGTGTGTGCCTGCTCCTGAGTGAGCTTGTGTGTGGCTGCTAGTGAGTGAGCTTGTGTGTGTGTGCCTTCTAGTGAGTGAGCTTGTGTGTGTGCCTTCTAGTGAGTGAGCTTGTGTGTGTGGCTGATAGTGAGTGAGCTTGTTTGTGCATGCTAGTGACAGCTTGCATGTGTGTGTGTGTGGCTGCGAGTGAGCTTGCTTGTGTGTGTGTGCGCCTGCTCCTGAGTTTGCTTGTGTGTGTGTGCCTGCTCCTGAGTGAGCTTGTGTGTGTGGCTGCTATTGAGTGAGCTTGTTTGTGTGTGTGTGGCTGCTAGTGAGTGAGCTTGTATGTGTGTGTCTGCTAGTGAGTGAGCTTGTGTATGTGTGTGCATGCTAGTGAGTGAGCTTGTGTATGTGTGTGCATGCTAGTGAGTGAGCTTGTGTGTATGCCTGCTAGTGAGTGAGCTTGTGTGTGGCTGCTAGTGAGTGAGCTTGTGTGTATGTGTGTGCATGCTAGTGAGTGAGCTTGTGTGTGTGGCTGCTAGTGAGTGAGGATGTGTGTGTATGTCTGCTCCTGATTGAGCTTGTTTGTGTGTGGCTGCCAGTGAGTGAGCTTGTATGCGTGTGCCTACTAGTGAGTGAGCTTGTCTGTGTGCCTGCTAGTGAATAAGTGTGTGTGTGTGTTGCTGCTAGTGAGTGAGCTTGTGTGTGTATGTCTGCTCCTGAGTGAGCTTGTTTGTGTGTGGCTGCCAGTGAGTGAGCTTGTGTGTGTATGTGTGCCTACTAGTGAGTGAGCTTGTGTGTGGCTGCTAGTGAGTGCGCTTTTGTGTGTGTGTGCGCATGCTAGTGAGTGAGTAAGCTTGTGTGTGTGTGCGCCTGCTCCTGAGTGAGCTTGTGTGTGCCTACTAGTGAGTGGGCTCGTGTGTGAGCTTGTGTGTGTGTGTGTGCCTGCTAGTGAGTGAGCTTGTGTGTGTGTGTGGCTACTAGTGAGTGAGCTTGTGTGTTGCTGCTAGTGAGTGAAATTGTGTGTGCCTGCTCCTGAGTGAGCTTGTGTGTGTGCCTGCTCCTGAGTGAGCTTGTGTGTGCCTTCTAGTGAGTGAGCTTGTGTGTGTGTCTGTGTGTGCATGCTAGTGAGCTTGTGTGTGTGTGGCTGATAGTGAGTGAGCTTGTGTGTGCATGCTAGTGACTGAGCTTGTGTGTGTGTGTGCCTGCTCCTGAGTTTGCTGTGTGTGTGCGTGTGCCTGCTCCTGAGTGAGCTTGTGTGTGTTAGGCTGCTAGTGAGTGAGCTTGTTTGTGTGTGTGTATGGCTGCTAGTGAGTGAGCTTGATTGTGTGTGTGTGGCTGCTAGTGAGGGAGCTTGTTTGTGTGTGTGTGGCTACTAGTGAGTGAGCTTGTGTATGTGTGTGCATGCTAGTGAGTGAGCATGTGTGTGTACATGTGAGTGAGCATGTGTGTGCATGCTAGTGAGTGAGCATGTGTGTGTGTGTGCATACTAGTGAGTGAGCATGTGTGTGTGGCTGTTAGTGAGTGAGCTTGTGTGTGTGCATGCTAGTGAGTGAGCTTGTGTGTGTGCCTGCTAGTGAGTGAGCGTGTGTGTGGCTGCTAGTGAGTGGGCTTGTGTGTATGTGTGCATGCTAGTGAGTGAACTTGTGTGTGTGGCTGCTAGTGAGTGAGCTTGTGTGTGTGCCTACTAGTGAGTGGGCTTGTGTGTGTCTGCTAGTGAGTGAGTTTGTGTGTGTGCCTGCTAGTGAATTAGTGTGTGTTTGGCTGCTAGTGAGTGAGCTTGTGTGTATGTCTGCTCCTGAGTGAGCTTGTTTGTGTGTGGCTGCCAGTGAGTGAGCTTGTGTGTGTATATGTGTGTGCATGCTAGTGAGTGAGTGAGCTTGTGTGTGTGTGTGTGTGTGTGTGTGTGTGTGTGCATGCTAGTGAGTGAGTGAGCTTATGTGTGTGTGCCTAGTATTGAGTGGGCTCATGTGTGTGAGCTTGTTTGTGTGGCTGCTAGTGAGTGAGCTTGTGTGTGTGTGGCTACTAGTGAGTGAGATTGTGTGTGTGGCTGCTAGTAAGTGAGCTTGTGTGTTGCTGCTAGTTAGTGAAATTGTGTGTGCCTGCTCCTGAGTGAGCTTGTGTGTGTGTGCCTTCTAGTGAGTGAGCTTGTGTGTGTGTCTGTGTGTGCATGCTAGTGAGCTTGTGTGTGTGTGCCTGCTAGTGAGTGAGCTTGTGTGTGTGTGGCTGATAGTGAGTGAGCTTGTGAGTGCATGCTAGTGACTGAGCTTGTGTGTATGTGTGTGGCTGCCAGTGAGCTTGCTTGTGTGTCTGTGTGCCTGCTCCTGAGTGAGCTTGTGTGTGTGTGGCTGCTAGTGAGTGAGCTTGTGTGTGTGTGCGCGTGTCAGTGGGCTTGTCTATTGGAAGCATGTGTGTGTGTCAGAGAGCTTGTCTGTTGGTTGCATGTGTATGTCAATGAGCTTGTCTGTAGTGAGCATGTGTGTGTCAGTGAGCATGTGTGTGTCAGTGCTCTTGTCTGTAGTGAGCGTGTGTGTGTCAGTGAGCATGTGTGTGTCAGTGCTCTTGTCTGTAGTGAGCGTGTGTGTGTCAGTAAGCTTTTCTATAGTGAGCTTGTGTGTGAGGTTGTCTGTGGTGAGGATGTGTGTGACAGTGAGCTGTTCTGTAGGTAGCATGTGTGTGCCAGTGAGCTTTTCTGTAGTGAGCACATGTGTGTCAGTGAGCTTATTTGTAGGGAGCATGTGTGTGTCAGGGAGCTTGTGTGTGTGAGCTTGTCTGTGGTGAGTTTGCGTGTGTCAGTGAACTTATCTGTAGGGAGAATGTGTCAGTGAGCTAGTCTGTAGGAGGCATGTGTGTGTGAGCTTGTCTTTAGTGAGCATGTGTGTGTCAGTGAGCTTTTCTGTATTGAGCATGTGTGTGTATATATTTTTTACACAATACAAGGTGCAATGGGGCTGGCATAGATTTTTTTTTTTTTTCCTGGGCTGCTTTGTATGCCCAGTCCGGACCTGATTGATATTAATTTTACAAAACATTATTTGACAAGACAACCTGGACCTGGAGGTTTGCAATGCATTGTATGTAAATATTTGTAAAGCAGGACACTGCAGTTATTGAAGTGACTGAACATGGTGAACATGGAGACTGAAGAAAAAAGGAATCTTTAAGAGAAGTCACTTTTTTTTCATATTTATATAGCTTTTGACAGAAAATGATGCAGTTATGTTAAGACCTGTCTTTTAAATCTCGTTCTTGTCTTTAATTGTATATATTAATCACTGTACAGCTATTTTTTACAGACCGCATTGATTATAATGTAATTTTTTTATATTTGTCTTTTGCCTTTCTCTCTCTGATAGGGTGACACAGTGAGTGTGTCTCTCACCCATCCCCTCAGTGTGAGGGCATGTCTCTCTCCCATCCACTCAGTGTGAGTGTATGCCATGGCAACGTTACCGACATGCATTACATGCCATGTGGAGTGTTGCCACGGCAACAGTCAACAACGCTCACGTGGCTTACGAGTAGATGCTGTTGTTGCAGGAGGTGCAATATTACACTCTTGGGTCCCTTTTTTGCAGGACACAGCATGCTGTGCCACCGGACCATCAGGGAATAAAGTGTGCCCCCTGCCCTGACCACAGGTAAGGCAGGGAAGGAAAAAAAAAAATTAATATCAATATTTAAAAAATATTCGCTCCCCTCAGAGCCCTTATCCAACCCCACTGTACTACATTTACTACACACAGACACTGCATCCACTATACACTCTGCATACAATACACACATTGCATCTCCTACACAGACACTACATTTACTATACACACTGCATAACACAATAAATGTGTGCAAAGTTTTTTTTGGGGGGGAAGAGGAGCATTTCATTCTTGGACCCAGGCAACACAATGTCTTGGGCTGGCCCTGCTCTCTCCCATCCACTCACAGCGAGTGTGTCCTTCTCCTGCCCACACACAGTGAGTGTGTGTCTCTCCCCAGTGGCGTACACATGACCCATGGGGCCCCGGTGCAAAAATTGATCCGTGGGCCGCCCCCTCCCCCCCCCCGCGCGCTTACTCAGCGCGGGTCGGGGTCGCAACACATGGTGGCGGGCACCTGGTCGCAGGGGTTGCAGGGCTGCGACCCCGCGACTGCGGTATGCACACACACTTAAAGGACCGCTACAGACACCCAGATCACATCAGCTCAATGAAGTGGTCTGGATGCCAGGTCCCTCTAGTTTTAACCCTGCAGCTGAAAACATAGCCGTTTCAGAGAAACGGCTATGTTTCACTGAGGGTTAATCCAGCCTCTGGTGGCTGTCTAATTGACAGCTGCTAGAGGAGCTTCCGCGATTCTCACTGTGAAAATCACAGTGAGAAGACACTGAATGTCCACTGGAAAGCATTGAGCAATGCTTTCCTATGGGCGGTTTAAATGCGCGCGCGTCTCTTGCCGCGTATGTGCATTTCGGAGCTGAGTGGCAGACACTGGGGAGTCCGACGCTGGAGAAAGGTAAATGCTGAAGACACACACACACTCTCACGAACAGACACATACACACTAGCTAACAGACACACACATTTACTGACAGAGACACACTCAGCGACAGACATACATACACTTTCACTGACAAACACACACTCACTAACAGACATCAAACACACTCAGTAACAGACATACACAGTAATACACTCACTAGCAGACACACACCCAATAACAGACACATTCACTGACACACACACTAACACACACATTTTTTTTTTCAAATTTAATCCCCCCAGCCTCCTTACCTTTTGGAGTGCTGGGGGGATTCCCTGGGGTCCAGTGGTGCTGCTGGGCTCCTGGGCGGGTGGCCGGTCGGGCAGGCGGGCGCGCGAGGGAGCACTCAGTGCTTCCTCTTCAGCTCCCTCGCGGGATGCGGAAGATGACGTAATCTTCTGGCCCGGTATCAGTGCGGTGCGCGAGGGAGCTGAAGAGGAAGCACTGAGTGCTCCCTCGTGCCTGCCCGCCTGCCCGACCGCCCACCCGCCCACGGGGGTCAGCAGGGCCAGCCTCGGGGGGCCCTGGGGTGGTCGGCTCCTGGGCCCCCCAGGGGAAGAGGCTGGCCCTGGGCGTACATACCGGGTCGCAGGGGCGGCCGGGCCCCCTGGTGGGCCGGGCCCGGTCGCAGCCGCGACCCCTGCGACCCTGGTATGTACGCCACTGTCTCTCCCGTCCAATCAGAGCAAGTGTGTATCTCTCCCGCCCACGCACAGCCAGTGTGTCTCAGTGTAGGATTGGCACTACTGATCGACGAACGAGGCAGATGCTTAGGGTGCACTGGCTCTGGGGGCGCAATTCACTCCTGCCAGTCACTACATTTAGTGTGGCCAAGTGCTCTGCAGTAGAGAATCTTCTTTATCCTCTACCCAGTCTGAAAGGAAATGTCCCCAGACAGAGTAGAGGATACAGAAGATTCTCCATCACAGTCCACTTGACCACGCTACAAGCAGATAAGCTGGCACTGTAGAAATAAGACAGCAAAAGGGGGGGAGGGGAGGCAAAGAGACACAGGGGAACAAAAAGACACATAGGAGGAGGTCAAAGAGATACACGGGGGGGGGGAGGGGGCAAAATAACACATAACAAGGTTTTGTGGGGCAAAGTAACAGAAGTGACGGGGACTGGGGGACAAAGAAACAAACAGATGAGCTTTAGGGGACAAAGACACACGGAGGGGCAGAAAAAACACCCAGATGGGCTTGGGGGGGCAAAGACGCACACAAAGGGGCTAGGGTGAGCAAAGAGACACATATAACAGTTGGGGGGACAAAAAAGGCATACAGTGGGGCTAGAGGGGGGAAAAGAGGCACACAGAGGGGATTGAGGGACAAAAAACTTTTAGGGAAATTTTAGTTAAAACTGTTTATTTCTTAATCATTTAGATGCTGATTGTGTACCTTTCTGTCTGTGCCATCTACTAATAACTGCTGAAGATGTGGACTTTACTGACATTGCCTAGCTTTAGTGCTTGACATCTTAAGCATCTATGACATTACTTTTGGTTTCATTTCTGCCAAGCTGTTGATGTGAGCAAGGTACAGACAGGGAGCACGTAAAGTGGTACAGAGATGTTTTTAGAGGTAGGTAATATTTAGAACAAATTAACTTTTACCAATATATAATGCATACATGTATAGAGATTGCACCAGGTAGTTTGGAGTTGTAAGGGAACGCCATCACTGAGTACCATGCCCACTCGCTTGCCTGCTTATTGTTTTCAGGTCACCATGCTGGAGATCTCCCTATCTGTGTGGTCCCCTTGTTCCACACAGCATGTTTAGGCTTGATTAGAAGATTGTGCTTGTCCCATCCAAAATATGATATAAGTGAGGCTTGAGTATTAATCTGTGGGTAGGTATTAACCCCTTAAGGACCTTGGGCGTTCTATGCCTTCCTTAAGGAACCGGTTCTAAATGCCAGAGGGCGGCATAGAATGACCAAACCGTCCTTTCTACTTACCCGGTCGCCGGCGATGCCACGCTGGCGATGGCGGTATGGGGACTCACCTGGGAGCCCACGGAGTCCCCCTCAATCCTCTTCGAACCCCTGGGCCATGTAAACACGAGGTCCTTAAGAGGACCTCACGATCACATGGACGGCATAGCCGTCCAAGGCAGTGCCAGCAGGGGGAGTGCCTGTATGACAGGTACTCCCCCTGCTGTCTGAAAAAAAAATTATTAAAGTTTAAAACAGTGTAAAAATAACATTATATATATATACTTAGATCATATATATATATATATATATATATATATACACTTAGATCATATATATATATATATATATATATATATGATCTAAGTATATATATATATATATACAATCTAAGTATATATATATATACAAACATACATACACATACACGGTCTACGTGTATTTTACTATTAATATATATATAATTATAAATATATATTAATATCAAAATACATGTACAATGATATTGATTAAATATATATATAATTTTAATTATATATATTTATATATAATATAAAATAAATCTGTAAATACGTTAAGAATTAAATAAAAAATATATGAGTAAATTTGTTCTAACTGTATTTTAAAATATACATATATTGATATCAAAATACATGTAGACGGGGGCGTGGCCAACTGCCGAGAGGAGAAGTCGCATGTAGCGATCGCTCCGTGTCCCACCAGGCCCAAAGCGACACATTAGCCACGGTAACCCGGACGAAACTGAGCAAAAACAACGGGTACAGAGCCCGGCTACGACATGGCACCCTCCAAGCAAACGAAAATCACCGACCCGATGAGGCAGAACAAAAAAGATAAAACGAGGTCGGCCCATGCTGCCCGTCCGACATCACCAGAAAGCCAAGAGGCCCCAGATTTTGATCCACAAACACCAGATGAAGAGCTGGTCACTAACAAGAGCCTCCACACAATGCTGCAGGCCTTAAAGGGCTCGCTACGATCTGACCTCCGCCAATATACCAACGAGCTGAGGAAGGAAATTGCTGAGTTGGGAGGCCGCACTAGCCACCTAGAAACGAAAACAGAAGAGATCTGTGCAGCCCACAATGACTTGGTCGATAAATTGCAATACCTAGAAGAGGAACAAAAGTCCCTTAACCCCTTAAGGACCAAACTTCTGGAATAAAATGGAATCATGACATGTCACACATGTCATGTGTCCTTAAGGGGTTAAAGTTAAACTGGCAGACATTGAAGACCGGTCACGCCGTAACAACCTGTGTTTCAGGGGCATCAGCGATGCTGTCACCAATGAGGCACTCCCTCTCCACCTCAAAACCCTCTGCAAACTCTTGGCCCCGCAGGTGGACGATGCCGCATGGGAGATGGACCGCGTCCATAGACTCCCAAGACCAGCCCCCTTTACAGCTGATACACCTAAAGATACCATAGCCAGATTCCATCATTATACCACCAAGGAGCAACTGCTAAACGCGGCTAGAAAACTTACCAAGTTACCCGAACCGTACCAGCACGTCCAAATATTCGCTGACCTTTCCGCGACAACGATGGCGAGGAGACGGGAATTCGTGAATGTGACCAAGACTCTACGGAACCATAGCATACCTTATCGGTGGGGATACCCCACGAAACTGCTGGTATGGTACCGGCACAGATCCATCCCAATTTTGGATCCGGAGGAGGGTATGGAGAAGCTGAAAGAGTGGGGGCTACACCATGCGCAAGGGCGGACCGCCCCAGCCCACAACTCTTCGTCGAAGATCTTGCCAGAGTGGAGGATGGTCGGGGCTGCCGTTGCCTCTCAAAGTCGGGACTAGTATGAACATTTAACTGGAGACTGCCTGCACTCCTGGCACATGAGTATTATCAACTGTCATGTTTATTGTGCTATGCATTATTATGTTTCCTAGGTGGGTTTGCACTAGTGAGACCAACCGGTTAGATCACGTTAAATCCCTCACTCAGATGGGCATTATTCCCCTCACTTTTATGTCGCGGGAACCACAACTTCCCAGTGTGATGGGCAATTGTGGGTATAATACACATTGCTACATTGTATTTCTTTAAACTGCAACTGTTTCTTTAACTAATAACCTTTTACCTATTTACAGTACACAACATGTTTACTCCATCTTGTCTTAATTTAATGCAATAACAATTCAAGGCTTTGCCTATGTCATCCTAACGTCTAGTCCAAATAAAGATTAAAGATGTCTAGGTTATGACATGAGACTTATTTTTTTTATATGACCTTCTCTTACCCCTAAGGTGTATGTCAACCTAACTTCTAGTCCAAATACAGATTAAAGATGTCTAGGTTATGACATTAGACTGATAAGGGTGTTTTTCTTTTATTTTTATATATGAACTGCTTTTAACCCTAAGATGAATTAACCCATACATTACCAGTAGTAATTAGAAATGCTATACTATATATACATGCATAATCAATGCTAGGTAGAGACATACTGACCGACTCTGGAGGTGACATACTGAGAGATTACCTGTATAATCAGGAGGGTATGTTATACTAATTATATTGCAAGCATGTATTCATTTAATTTTATATACTCTGCTTTATGATATATTAATGGATCTTTATTCATTTATTCAATAAACTAATTAATAAGACAAAAGTTATTGCTTCCAACTCCTATTTTTATTGTATTCTCAATTATTTATGTATTTTAAATAGAGAAACTCTATACCGACTATAAAATATTTAGCTAAGATATCTGTATGGTTAGCCCTGCTAAATTCTAAGTTATAAGACGTTATAGCGGTAAATTGGAGTACGAACGGTTACACCAGCAATCTCATTATCCCGCTGAGCACAATAACCCGCTCATTATACAGCACGAGTTTAGATATATTACCCCTACTTGTTGAAATGCAAATGTTACTGATTCATACCCCAGTCTGCCAAGATATATCAGACCCATTAAGGACCGGGCACCTGCTAGGTGGTAGGTGGGGGGGGGGGGCCACCAGTTAGCCACATCAGCTGCCGCGCTCGGGGGCCAGTGCACGGAGCCAGATCATTCAAAGGATGAGAGATCCCGGTGGGGACCTGCATATCCTCAGGGAACCCCACTTAGATAAGCAGGCATAACAGCTCCAAGTACATATCGTTAGACGCAAACCCGAGATGCTATCCCCTCCCCCCACGGGAAATGTAGGTTGGGGCTACAGACCACCCCTTATTCGCAAGGCAGCAAATAATAAGTTCTATGTAATGTCCTAATAATATCATTATAGGATTAAAAAAAAAAAAAAAAGTAATCAATAAGTCGCCCCATTTTGATAACAAGCCACGGTCCACACCAGGTGTGCAAATACTGGATTCCCACATGATGTTCATTTTTGTTAATATTCCATAGGGCCTTAAATGGTGGAGGCTACTCCACGTCCCCCGTGCCGAAGAAGAGTGAGGCTCAGCCTTACACGGATTCGGAGGTAAACCCTGTTGGTAGCAGGGCCGATATGTTTTTTCCCTTGGTTCCCCAATTCTTCCCTAGTTCGCTTCTCTCCCATCTCCCTCTCAGACACAATCCAAAACGGATCACTTTTCGTGCTCAGCTCGGTGGACTAGCCCAGTGCCCTAAGGGGATCAGGTCTCCCACCTCTACAAATACCAAAGATACGGGTATATTCATTAGCCATATAGTTTTTACCCTCAAATGACCCAAACCATGTTTAAAATCCTCTCCTTGAACGTCAAAGGCCTGAATAGCCCACACAAACGCAGCCTAGCAATTAGAGATATGCACAAATCACAAGCTGCAGTGATATGTCTCCAAGAAACACACTTGTGTGTCAACAACCCCCCTAAGTTCCAAACCAAGCGTTACCCTCAAGCCTTCCACGCATATTCCCCAAACAAGTCTAAAGGGGTTTCCATTCTATTTCATGCGGACTGGGCATTCCAACCTTGCGATACATATGCAGACACGGCGGGGCGCCTCCAGGTATTGGTGGGCTCGCTCAATGGCGTCGATGTAACCCTAGCGTCCCTTTACGCCCCTAACGACGGCCAAATTCCCTTCTTACGCAGTGCACTTAAAAAGATAGATTCAATGAAACGAGGACAGGTCATAGTCTGCGGGGACTTCAATTGCAGCCCAGACCCCAACTTGGATGTTAAACGGGTGAACAATAAGAAATCTATCCCCTCCGCATATCATAATGGCAAAGCCTTGTCCGACATTATGTTCGAACTAGACTTATATGACTCCTGGCGTAACATTTATCCAACAGGTAGAGACTACTCATATTTCTCACCAATCCACTCAACCTATTCACGCATTGACCTCACACTGGTAGACAAACTAACCTTAACAAACATAACTGAAGTAGATATAGGGTTTCGGACGTGGTCAGACCACACCCCGGTAATTGTCACCCTTAGTAGCCTATACCCAATCCGAGGGAGAGGAAAATGGAGACTTAACGAAAGTCTTCTGGACGATCCCACGTCGATGCAAACTGTCCTTGAATCCGCAACTAATTATTTCAAGGAAAATATGTCTGAGGAGGTCCCCATACAATCCCAATGGGAAGCTCACAAAACCGTGGTCAGGGGGGTACTAATTCAAATCGGGTCCCGTAAAAAACGGAAACAGGACGAGGAGACAAGGCGGGTAACCCTCGAACTTACAGAGGCCGATAAGCTGAATAAACAAAACCCTTCCAGTAAATTAACCAAAACTATTGCTCGATTGCAGAGGAATTTAAATGCCATCTCTTTACAGACAATCGAAAGGAGAATGAGAGCTCTTAGATTGACATATTATACACAAGGCAACAAAGCGGGTAAACTATTGGCCAATAAGTTAAAAGCCCAGCGCCTCCAGTCGAAAATCCCCTTTATTGAAACTCCACACGCTTCCAAACTATATAATCCCAACGATATTGTAAACACGCTGGCGTCCTTCTACTCCAATTTATATAACTTAAAAGATGATCCCTTGGTACCCCAACCGACACACGCTTCCATAGATGAGTTCCTCAGCCACGTCGAACTCCCTCACTTGACACAAGCACAAAGAGAGATACTCGACCGACCATTCTCAGACGACGAGGTCTCAAAAGCAATTGCATCCCTCCCGAAACATAAAGCCCCGGGTCCTGACGGATTCTCAAATTATTATTACATTAAACTCACAAAGATCTTAACACCCTTCCTAACCAAATTATTCAATGACATTAAATCGACAGGGATCATGCCAAAAGAAATGCTTGAAGCGCATATTATCACACTCCCCAAACCGGGCAAACCGCCCACCAAGTGCGAGAACTTAAGGCCAATTTCGCTCCTTAATGCGGATGCTAAGCTTTACGCTAAACTACTCGCATCCCGCGTGAAACCCCTTCTCACAGACTTAGTGTCGGCAGAGCAAGCTGGGTTCATCTCCGGACGACAAGCGGGGGACAACACACGTCACTGTTTGAACCTGATTAGTTGGGCGGGGACTAGCAACCAGCAGGGGGTGTTCCTGGGACTCGACGCTGAAAAAGCGTTCGACCGGCTTAATTGGAAGTATCTGGAAGCAACCCTACTAAAAATGGGCTTTCCGAGGACCTTCCTAGGGAGCATCCTGGCATTGTATAGTGGTCAGCTAGGGTCTTTAACTCTGGCTTTTTATCACAATCATTCACAATCAGTAACGGAACGAGACAGGGTTGTCCATTGTCACCCCTGCTATTTATCTTCTGTCTGGAGCCACTTATACACCGCATTAAACAACACACAGAGATTTCGGGACTTACTACACCAGCGGGAACTCAAAAACTAACACTGTTCGCGGATGATATTCTGCTTTTCCTCACGCACCCTGACAAATCCATCCCGGCTCTGACATCCCTACTGTATCTCTATGGCGCGGTCTCATACTATAAGAACAACACCACCAAAACCCAGGTGCTGCCATTCGGTCTTTCCCCCACAACGGTATGTAGGCTGCGGTCCACATTCTCCTTCGACTGGAGGCCCACATCCCTAAAATATCTGGGGGTCAATTTAACGGTATCACATGCCAGACTCACACGCGAAAATCATATACCCCTAACACATAAACTGCAAACAATGCTGGACAAATGGCAACCCCTTGAAATCTCCTGGCTGGGGAGAGTCCAGACGATCAAAATGATGGCGTTGCCTCATGTACTCTATTTATTCCGCACCCTCCACTACCGGACACACTCCTCAAAAAATTCCAATCCATTTTCAACTCCTACATCTGGAAAAAGAAACCTCCCAGAATTGCCCGTAGACTTACCTGGCTATCTCCAAATAAAGGAGGTATAGGGATCCCTGACATAAAAGGATACTACAAGGCATCAGTGCTAGCCCAGGGTTTAGAGGCCCTTACTAGGACCAAAACACCGGTGTGGCTACCTTTGGAGAATGCATGCCTACACCCGGCCACGATAACCCAAAAACTATGGTCTTCCAGTGCTCCCATGAATCCCCCCTCACAGGGTTTGAACACCACCAACTTTATGCTGGCTAGCTGGAGGAGATGGGCGGGAGATCTCATGGGACAAGCCCACCCCATCTTCTTTGCCCCTCTATCCCGTTTACAAGATCTAATAAGTAATATCTCGCTGAAAACGTGGATTATAAAGGGGATCACTTCTGTAGAATCCCTGTTAACACCACGGGGCATAAAACAGTTCCCTGAACTTCAAGCCGAATATGCGTTACCTCCCAGGGAGATCTTCACATATCTGCGCATCAAACACGCTCTATCATCGTTAAACATACACCACAGTGAGATAGAACACCTCACAACGTTTGGGCGACGTTGCATCACCACCCAAACCATGGGCAAACCCCTCTCCTTGAGTTATTCAGCAATTAATGATGTGGACAGGGCCATTAAACATGCCTATATGCTAAAATGGGAACGAGATCTGAATGACACATTCCCTCTACCCATATGGTTACAGGTGATCCAAAACACGCGAGCCTCTTCGCACAGCATGTCCCACTGGGAGAGCTTCTGTAAATTATTGATGAGATGGTACCTTGTCCCATCTCGCCTTGCCCAGATACACCCAACTGTCTCGCGGGCATGCTGGAGATGCAGTGACGGGGTGGGCACTTTGCTTCATGTCTTCTGGGATTGCACAAAACTGACACAATTTTGGCAACAGGTCAGAATTCTGATAAAAGAGGTCACAGAGCTTACCATCCCACTACACCCAGAATGTTATCTCCTACATATCCACGCCGGAACATTGGCCTCCCCACACAAGTTGGTTATCTATCACATATTGTTAGCTGCCAAGACTAGCATAGCAAGCAGATGGAAAAGTCCAGAACCCCTTAGTATTCAGGAGGTGAAAAATAGAGTTCACTCGACTTACGACCACGAACGGCTAGCATTCCGGTTGCAATCCAGTGAGGACAAACACGCAAAACTATGGCTCAGCTGGAGCGCAGCACACTCCTGCAGGTAGTGGGATGAGGGGAGGTGGGAAGGCCATCTCTTCTGGCGGGCTCAAGGTGATTATTCAACACACAGTACCCAAACTTTCCCAGAGAACTTATTTGCAGGTACCTAAGCCCCCCCACCAGACCAGTACCCATGTTCCAGTTTAGGGGTCCCCAGCTGATTAGGGACGGAGGGTCGCCTCATCCCACCCCGCTAACAACTCAGGTCAAACAAGCGAGTCTCCCCAGGGCCCCCCCGGTAATTCCGATAACTTCCGATACATTTTGCTGAGCTCGGACTAACTCGGATAATACTCAAATTAGATTGTAACTACCGCCTTACATGTCAGCCACCGCATAATGTTAGCTATGCTCTGTATATGTAATGGAACCTTTGATTGTGTCTGTACAATGTTACCCCTTCCCCTTCTTCCTTTCTGTATCCCCCTATTTTGTTGTCTGGCGTGACATCACGCAAAACTAATAAAAATTAAGACATTGAAAAAAAAAAATACATGTAGAACGAAATATATATATAAAGTATATACGTATATATCACTATAAATAAAAATTATTTTAAATTTATATATATATATATATATAAAAAAAATAATTCTACGTATATATTTATGTAATAATTTTACATAATTAGGTAATTTTATTAATTACAATTAGCAGGACCAGCCTGACAACCCAGGCCAAGAGTCCAGGGAATTTAATTTGCTAGCAATATATTTAACCCTATAACTTTCCAAGACACCATAAAACCTGTACATGGGGGGTACTGTTTTACTCAGAAGACTTTCCTGAACACAAATATTAGTGTTTCAAAACAGTAACATGTATTACAACAACGATATTGTCAGTGAAAGTTACTTTTTTTTTCATTTTTCACACCCAAATGGCACTTACACGGACAATATAATTGTTGTGATACGTTTTACAGTTTTGAAACATTTGTGTTCAGCGAAGTCTCCCGAGTATAACAGCACCCCTCATGTACAAGTTTTATGGTGTTTTCAAAAGGTAGAGAGTCAAATATAAGGCTTGCATTTCAGTTTTTTCACATTATAATTCACCAGATTGGTTACGTTGCCTTTGAGACCGTCCGGTAGCCCAGGAATGAGAATTACCCCCATAATGGCATACCATTTGCAAAAGTAGACAACCCAAGGTATTGCAAATGGGGTATGTCCAGTCTTTTTTAGTAGCCACTTAGTCACAAACACAATTGATGTTCAAATTAGTTTTTTTGCATTTTCAAATATTAACACTAACTTTGGCCAGTGTTTGTGATCAAGTGGCTACTAAAAAAGACTGGGCATACCCCATTTGCAATACCTTGGGTTGTCTACTTTTGCAAATGGTATGCCATCATGGGAGTAATTCTCATTCCTGGGCTACCATACGGTCTGAAAGGCAATGTAACCAATCTGGCGAAATTCAATGTGAAAAAAATGAAAAATGTAATATGCTATATTTGACCCTGTAACTTCCCAAAACACCATAAAACCTGTACATAGGGGGTACTGTTTTACACATGAGACATCGCTGAATACAAATATGTGTATTTTATTGCAGTAAAATCAAACAGTATTATGACATTCACAGTTAGAATAGCCATATATAGGTGGTGGAAGTGCACTCAACCCTTCGTCATGCAATTCAGGGTGCTCTAATGGATAAGTCCCAGTACCAAAAAAAGACCAAGATATAGAATTTCAGTGACTATAATTAATTAATAACATAATCAGTCAATAAATAAAAACATAATTGTCTCTCCAATCATCATCTCACATAATGGGGAGGTCAAAAAGCACAGGGTAGTTCAGCCAATAAGATATAAGTTAAGCATTTAGTTAATGTAATTGTTTAATTATAAACATAGTGTTTCAGAGTGTTTTCAATACACCCAGACCCATTAAATATAATTAAAAACACCAAACAAGCCCGGGTACTTACATTTCCGGGTAAGCTCACATAGATCCGATCATGTAATTACGGTTGACGTACCAAACGTCTCTAATTACGCTGTACACATGATGAAGTTTCTAAAGCGCCCAATAGCACATGTGCAATCCAGCGAAATAAAAAATACACATGCGCCATATTGCGCTTGCGCACCGCACATCACCCCTGCAATCCGACGAATCTAGTGAAATCAGAGATGCGCACGTGCCATCTATAAATCCTGCAATCAGATAAACTGGGGCACATAAATAGACACTGTGCATGCATACCCTAACGCGAGCGCAATAGATATCCAGGTGTTCTATCAGTCTGCTATACTCCGTCAGATTGCTATACCCCTATCACTTCCGGGGAGGGGAATCAGCTGGATCCTGTGCTGCACATGCGTGCTACCACTCCTGCTACTCCTCCACAGCAAGGTCCTGGAAGGTAAGTAAAACTAGTTTTACACTTTCATTATAGTTAGTGTATTCACTAAGCTTAGGCACACGGGACATTTAGGGTTAAATGAGGGTACAAATTAGGGTTAGGTAAGTGCTTCTAACCTCTCTCACACTCTATTCTTACCCTAACCCTTGGGTTAAGGGTTAAAATAAAGTGTGAGAAATCACTATTTAGTGATAATCCCCTAATGTGAAATATCACTAAATATGAACAAGTCCCTAACCCTAATTTGAACCCTAACATTAACCCTAAATGTCCCATGTCCTAAGCTTAGTGAATGCACTAACTATAATGAAAGTGTAAAACTAGTTTTACTTACCTTCCAGGACCTTGCTGTGGAGGAGTAGCAGTAGTGCTACACCGGCAAAGGAAAAAAAGGTCTTACATTGAAGGTCTCATATAGAGACATAAAAAAGGCCAACTTGTGAAAATACACTTACAATATATGTTTCAAAAATTTATATAGAAGGCTGAACTAAAACCTGTTGCAATCCGATAAACCCCATAGAAGATCACATATAACTGAATAATACATCAAAATTGTTACAGATAATCACATATCAATTAGTCAATTTAATGAGTAAATAATATCCTTATCAGATCAAAATTTACATAGTTTATATATCTCCATCTTCTCCATAATCTCACTTTATCTTATTTGCCATAATTAAGTGAAAATGACTTCAGTTAACAATAAGTGAAGTGAACAATACAATTTAAAAAAAACAAGTGATAACATAAAACAAATAAGAATTTGTATATTCAAATTTTTAAATATTAATGGTGTGAAGTGCAATGTATAGTGGGCGTAATGTATATTGTATTGCATAAAATATATTATGCATAATATATAATGCATGTAAGAAAGCTAACAATGTATAATTAAAATGATAGAGAAACACTATATAAGTGATGAGATGAATGTAGTAAAGTGCACTAGATAAATGTATATAATGATCTAATTTATAACAATTTAGTAAATAAATCCAAGATGAAGAATGATACCTAGTCTCCTATCAACTATGTCATACAATCAATAGTACATAGTGTTCCCAAAAAGATATTAAACTGTCCAATCTAAGACTATTAGTCTGCATGGAAGGGAACAAGCTAAATGTAAATATTTATTATCTGTTTATATACAGATCTTTAAGAAGAGTATTCTGTGATTTTTAATTTTAATTTTACAGAAAAAAGTTTTGTGAATAGCCCTAAATAAATAAATGAGAAGATATAGTACACTATCGTCTGATTTAAAAAGTACTGTAAACAGACATTGGCATATACTATAGCAGTGTCATCCAAATATCGTTGAATTTAAAAATATACCCTTGATGGTCCATAAACGCGCTCCCTCTTTGAGGGATAGGTTGGTAAAAGCTGAACTGTCTTTTCCATCAAAATTAAACTCTAAAAGGAACGGCAATTTTCCATTCCATAATTGTATTTGTTGCAATTCTATGATAAAAGGCTCAACATTTGCTCATCCCCATAGGGGCAATAAATGCGATCAGACAATTCATCACATGTGATACTACACATGTTGTTTATATTTTAAAATGCCCCTGTGGTTTAATTTACGTAGGTCAAACAACCCAGAAAATGAAAGAGATTCTCAAAACACAAGTCCACGATAAGAACAAAAATGCTTGAATTACCTATTCCAATGCATATTATAGAAGCAAAACATAATATAACTCAGCTTAAATTCCAAATTATTGAACATGTGGAAGAAAGTCATAGACTAGGGGATAGATTAAAAAGATTATTATTTAGAGAAGCATTTTGGATTAGGGAATTAGAGTCCTTAACACCCAAGGGACTCAATCAAGAATATGACCACAATCCGTTTATTTAAGTCAAAGTTTTCTTCATTATTCTTGTTTTTAAAACAACATTGGTTTTTAATCAATCTCTATTATTATGTTTTACAGATCATTTTCACAGATTATTGTAATCTGTGGTGGCTGTGCTGGTTATCACTTCATTGAGCACTTGGTTTAAAAATTGTCTCTCACAATTGTCTTTAATTCTCAATTGTGTTAGTCTCTAAACTATCGGTAAAACATTTTTTAGAATTGAAAGTCTTTTTGTGCCTTATTTTTTTCTTATCTTCGTCACCCAAAATGTTTAATATTTGGAGCTGATTGAATTATTATGTTTTTTGATCCAGATTTGTCCAAATGGAACTAATGTATATGTTGGTTCCATTTGGATATATTATATAACAGTTTTGGATAATATGTAACATAAGTACTAATTTGGGGTTTGCGATGTGACTTTACTGTTCTCATTTATATATTTAGGGCTATTCACAAAACTTTTTTCTGTAATATGAAAAATAAAAATCACAGAATACTCTTCTTAAAGATCTGTATATAAACAGATAATAAATATTTACATTTAGCTTGTTCCCTTCCATTTAGACTAAGAGTCTTAGATTGGACAGTTTAATATCTTTTTGGGAACACTATGTACTACTGATTGTATGACATAGTTGATAGGAGACTAGGTATCATTCTTCATCTTGGATTTATTTACCAAATTGTTATAAATGAGATCATTATATACATTTATCTAGTGCACTTTACTACATTCATCGCATCACTTATATAGTGTTTCTCTATCACTTTTGATAGGAGACTAGGTATCATTCTTCATCTTGGATTTATTTACCAAATTGTTATGAGATCATTATATACATTTATCTAGTGCACTTTACTACATTCATCTCATCACTTATATAGTTTCTCTATCACTTTAATTATACATTGTTAGCTTTCTTACATGCACTTCACACCATTAATATTTAAAAAATTGAAGATATGAATTCTTATTTGTTTAATGTTATCACTTGTTTTTTTTAAATTGTATTGTTCACTTATTGCTAATTGAAGTAATTTTCACTTAATTATGGTAAATAAGATAAAGTGAGATTATGGAGAAGATGGAGCTATATCAACTATGTAAATTTTGATCTGATAAGGGTATTATTTATTATTTACTCATTAAATTGACTCTAATTGATATGTGATTATTTGTAACAATGTTGATGTATTATTCAGTTGTATGTGATCTCCTATGGGGTTTATCGGCTTGCAAAAGGTTTTAGTTCAGCCTTCTATATAAATTTTTGAAACATATATTGTAAGTGTATTTTCACAAGTAGGCCTTTTTTATGTCTCTATATGAGACCTTCAATATGAGACCTTTTTTCCTTTGCCGGGATATCCATTGCGCTCGCGTTATGGTACACGTGCGCAGTGTCTATTTATGTGCCCCAGTTTATCTGACTGCAGCATTTATATAAGGCGCGTGCGCATCTCTGATTTCACTAGATTTGTCGGATTGCAAGGATGATGTGCGGTGCGCATGCGCGGTATGGCCCGTGCAAATTTTTTATTTAGCTGGATTGCACATGCGCTATTGGGCGCTTTAGAGACTTCATCATGTGACCGGCGTAATTAGAGACGTTTGGTACGTCAGACGTAGTCACATGATCGGATATATGTGAGCTTACACGGAAATTTAAGTACCCGGGCTTGTTTGGTGTTTTTAATTATATTTAATGGGTCTGGGTGTATTGAAAACACTCTGAAACAATATGTTTATAATTAAACAATTACATTAAATAAATGCTTAACTTATATCTTATTGGCTGAAGTACCCTGTGCTTTTTGACATCCCCATTATGTGAGATGATTGGAGAGACAATTATGCTTTTATTTATTGACTATGTTATTAATTAATTATAGTCACTTCACCTGTTATATCACTTGTTACATATACCTATATATTGTATGTGATTTATGTGCTGTAGTAGCTTGACAAAGGTCCTAAGGGGTCGAAACGTTGCTTTCTTGTTCCCGCTTCCAATTAAACTGCCTTTTCTGTGGAATCGGAGTGCCTGTATTCTTTTCTACACTGAAATTCATAGTTAGAATGTCACATAGAACTAAACATTTTTTAAAAATTCTTATTTTCTCCCATTTTGTAATGTTTTATTCATATTAAATTGTGTTTTATAGCTACATATTTGATGTTAAATGAAAGCCCTGCTTCCCCTGTATAAACTGATATATAATAAGTGTGGGTGCACATAATATGAAAGAGGTGAATTACCCCCGAACAGACATATACCACAAATTCAAGTTTTTGTTTACGTTTTGTTTTGATCATAACCAGGGCCGTCTTTAACGCGGGGCTAATGGGGCAGCGGCCCCGGGCCCAGTTTCTCTTGGGGGGCCAGAGGCCCCGCTGCCCTCATCAATTTATTTTTTTCCCCATCCTCTGAGTCCCACCGGGTGGCCCATGCACTTAGGGCAGTGGCGTACATACCAGGGTCGCAGCTGCGACCCTGGTATGCACCCACAGGGCCAGCGTCTTCCCCTGGGGGGGCCCTGCTGACCCCGGCGGGGTGGTGCTGCTGGGCTCCTGGGCTGGTGGCCGGTCGGGCAGGAAGGTGGGCGCGCGAGGGAGCACTCACTGCTTCCTCTTCAGCTCCCTCGCGCACCGCACTGATACCGGAGCCGGAAGATGACGTCAACTTCCAGGCGCCGACATCCCTACGCGGCGCGCGAGGGAGCTGAAGAGGAAGCAGTGAGTGCTCCCTCGCGCGCCCACCTTCCTGCCCGACCGGCCACCCGCCCAGGAGCCCAGCAGCACCACTGGACCCCAGGGAATCCCCCCCAGCACTCCAAAAGGTAAGGAGGCTGGGGGGATTACATTTTAAAAAAAAAATGTGTGTATGTGTGTGTTTGTGTGTATGTGTGTTAGTGTATGTGTGTGTTAGTGTATGTGTGTCAGCATGTCTGTGTGTGTGTGTCAGTATGTCTGTCTGTGTGTCAGTATATATGTGTGTGTATATCTGTGTGTGTCAGTATGTCTGTCAGTGCATGTGTATGCATGTGTCAGTATATCTGTCTGTGTGCCAGTATATCAGTCTGTGTGTGTCAGTGTATGTGCCTGTGTGTGTGTGTCAGTATTTCTCAGTGTATGTGGGTGTCAGTATATCTGTCAGTGTGTGGGTGTCAGTATTTCTGTCAGTGTATGTGTGTAAGTATGTTGATCAGTGTATGTGTCTGTCAGTATGTCTGTATATGTGCCTGTGTGTCAGTATGTCTGTATATGTGCCTGTGTCAGTATGTCTGTCAGTACGTCTACCAGTGTATGTGTCTGTGTCAATATATGTACCTGTGTCAGTGTGTCTGTCAGTGTATGTGCCTGTTTATCTGTATGTAGTCAGTGTATGTATCTGTGTATCTGCTTGTGCGTCAGAGTGTGTACCTGTGCATCTGAGCCGCAACTTTAAATACAAATACACCCCTCCATTCAAACTTCAACACTACATATAAAACACACTCCTGCATTGAAACGTCAACACTACATACAAGCACACTCCTACATTCAAAAACAAACACTACACATAAATGCACACTTGCATTCAAACTCCAGTATCACATACAAACACATTCACACAAACATACTCCATACAAACACATGCTTACATTCAAACATACAAACATGGCTCAGTGCTAAATACAACCCTGCAAGCATGGGAAATTGGTAGAGTCCCAGCTGTCAAAGCATTGTTGGAGTTGCACGACAGATGGGGTTCTACCTTTAGTCCAACCTTGCAATTGGGGGTCCCAATAAAATTAATTCTACTTTAGTACCGCCACTGCGTTGGGATGGATGCCGTGATTGCATACCAGGGAGTGAGGGGCGAGAGCGGCAGGGCACAGGGGGCCCAAGCAAACACCTGCCCAGGGTCCATTCATTATTAAAGACAGCCCTGATCATAACATGTTCATTTGGGTCAGTCCTTAACCCCTTAAGGACAGAGCCAAATGTACACGTTGTGAATGAAACAAAATGTAAACAAAACCTGGCATTTGCGCTACATGTCTGTCCAACCGTAATTCACCTATTTCATAGTAAATGCACCCACCCTTATTATATATCATTTTATTCAGGGGAAACAGGGCTTTCATTTAATATCAAATATTTAGCTATGAAACATAATTTAATATGAAAAAAATGGTAGAAAATAAGATTTTTTAAATTTTTTTAGTTCTACATGACATTTTAACTGTCAATGTCATAATACTGTTTGCTTTTACTGCAATAAAATACACATATTTGTATTCAGCAAATTCTCATGTGTAAAACAGTACCCCCTATGTACAGGTTTTATGGTGTTATGGGAAGTTACAGGGTCAAATATAGCACATTACATTTGAAATTCGCCAGATTGGTTACGTTGCCTTTGGGACTTTATAGTAGCCAGGAATGAAATTGACACCCATAATGGCATACCATTTGCAATAGTAGACAACCCAAGGTATTGCAAATGGGGTATGTCCAGTCTTTTTTAGTAGCCATTTGGTCACAAACACTGGCCAAAATTAGCGTTAGTATTTGTTTGTGTGTGAAAAATGCAAAAACCGCCAATTTTGGCCAGTGTTTGTGACTAAGTGGCTACTAAAAGAGACTGGACATACCCCGTTTACAATACCTTGGGTTGTCTACTATTGCAAATGGTATGCCATCATAGGGGTAATTTTCATTCTTGGGCTACCCTAGGGTCTCAAAGGCAACGTACCCAATCTGGTAAATTTTAATGTGAAAAAAATGAAACACAAGCCTTATATTTGATGCTGTAACTTTTGAAAACACCATAAAACCTGTACATGAGGGGTACTGTTGTACTCGGGAGACTTCGCTGAACACAAATATTTGTGTTTCAAAACAGTAAAAAGTATCACAACAATATCGTCCGTGTAAGTGCTGTTTGTGCATGAAAAATGCAAAAAAAATTCACTTTTACTGGCGATATCATCATTGTAATACATTTTACTGTTTTGAAACACTAATATTTGTGTTCAGCGAAGTCTCCTGAGTAGAACAGTACCCCCCATGTACAGGTTTTATGGTGTCTTGGAAAGTTATAGGGTTAAATATAGTGCTAGCAAATTAAATTCCCTTTACTTTCGGCATGGGTTATCAGGCAGGTCCCGCTAATTGTAATTAATTAAGATACCTAATTATGTAAAAATATTACATAAATATATATGTAGAATTAATATATGTATATATATATGTATGTGAATCTATATGTGTATATCTATATAATTTTTTTAAAATATTTTTATTTATATATAGGTATATATTTATGAATGTAGATATATATATTTTGTTCTACGTGTATTTTGATATAAATATATATATATTAATATCACAATACAGTTAGAACGAAATAACACATCTATATATTTTTTAATTAATTTTTTTAAATTATTTATTTTATTTTATTTTTAAACGTATTTACATATTTATTTGTTTATATTATATATAAATATATTACAATAATTATATATTTAATCAGTATCAGTCTACGTGTAATTTGATAATATATATATAATTATATATATATTAATAGTAAAATACACCTAGACAGTGCATGTGTGTGTATGTATATATATATATATATATATATATATATATATATACACTTAGATCATATATATATATATATATATATATAAAATAATAATATACACGCTGTGAAAGACAAATAGGTAGCTCTAAAACACCTAAAAAAGTGGTATCCCTTACACCACTAAAAACATAATATAATACATACAGAGTTATAGGTGGAGCTGTGGAGTATCTTGAACAATCTGAAAAATAGAATATATGCAAATAGCGTAGTATATCTATACAATATATAGCATATAAAAAATGAGAATAAAAGCGCTCACAAGGATAGAGTCATACCGTCATATGACTCTTAAAGTATGTTCTCTTGGACCATTAGGGGGTTGTCCAAACCCTTCTTTTGTTGATTGCTTGTTATTTCTCCTGATGGTCTTCAAAAGATGCTCAATATGCCAGGAATCTTGGAAAATAATTCTTGTTTATTTGTAGATAAAATAACAAAATGGCAATATACTAAACCAATATATATTGGGTATAGATATAGTCCAATAAAAAGTCTATCAAAGTTGAAAATAAGTGTCCAAAACGCGTTTCGCCTGATTAACAGGCTTCCTCAGTTGGCTCTAATGTTTCTTCCAAAGTTTTCTTTGTTTGAAAATGCCGCCGGCCGGCTGAATCTTCTTTTATATGGCACTTCCTGATTCCGTCTGGTGGAACGCAACGTGCGCTCCACCTACGGCACCAACTTCCGGTACGCACCGCAAGTGGAACGCACGTGCGCCCCAACTCCGTGCGCACACCGGAACTTCAGCACCAACTTCCGGGTGGAGCGCCCGTGCGCCCCAACCCGGCGCCAACCTCCGCAATGCACCACAAGTGGAACGCACGTGCGCTCCAACTTCAAGCAGCAAGTTCACTTCCGGGTCTCTCTATACTTCCGGGTCACACTCAGGTGGAACGCACGTGCGCTCCACTCTCAGCCTCACATCAGGTGGCCAAATGTAAACATAAAAAATGGCGTTCTGCCTGTATTTACACCAATGGGGTGTGACATATAGAATTATGAGTGCTATGTCTTAAATAAAAAAATAATATAAAAAATCAGATATTGTGGAAAAGAGTAAGAATCAAATTTGATGAGAAGGAATAAAAACTAATTCTATTAGTTTTAGAAGATTGCTATCACAATCTTAAAGGGGCAGAATGTCATTTCTAGAAATTTTATAAAAATACACAGTAAAAGCTGAATAAAATACATATAATATCCAATAGTAAAAGAAACATAAAAATAGTATATAAGTGTATAAAAAGATGCCTAAAAACTTCCATAAAATAATATGAAACCAAGATAGGCTAAAACTAATGCATAAAGTGGCATAATTCAAAATCATTGTTCAGACCGTTTGGAATCATAGTGTCAAAATTGAATATGAACTTCATCTCTTCCTTTCCTATTTTGTTTACATAATCACCACCTCTCCAATCTTTTTTTACTAATTTTAAAGCACAAAAAAACATTCCTTCTGGATTTTGTTGGTGAACATGTTTAAAATGATTTGAAACACTATGGGTTTCGACTCCATTTTTGATGTTTCTTATATGTTCCGCTATTCTTAAATTCAATTTACGAATTGTACGGCCTACATATAAAAGATTGCAGGGACATTTTAAAATATAGATCACTCCCTTCGAATGGCATGTTAGATGATCTCTTATGGTAAATTTCTTGTTAATAATGGATTCTAGGTCTGTTAGGTGTCTTTTTTTATTTTTTGTATTTTTACATGCTAGACATTGTCCGCATCCGTAAAATCCTTTACCTATTGTAAGGAAGGTTTGTCCTACTGTTTGTTCTTTATTACTACTTTTAACTAAAGTGTTTCTCAAGTTTTTTACACCTCTAAAGATGACTTTTGGTTTTTCTGGTAATATATTTTTAAGAATAGGGTCATCTTTTAGTATATGCCAATGTTTTCCTATGATTTTATGCATTTTCCTACTGTTGCCATGGTAGTTGCATATGAAGGGGATGTCTTGTTTCTTGATTAAATCTTTCTTTTTCTGTTTATATTTTAGAAGGTCTGTTCTTTGTATTTCTTGAGCCTCATTTATAGCTAATTGGAGGGAAACATCGTCATAACCTTTTTCCAGAAATTGTACTTTAATCTTATTTGCTTGCTCTAAGAAGTCTTGTTCATTCGTACAATTCCTTCTTATACGTAGGAATTGTCCTTTCGGAGCGTTACTTAACCAAGGGAGGTAGTGACAGCTCTCTCTTCTGATGTAGCTGTTGGCATCTACATCTTTAAAATGATTCTTGGTAGTAATAGTGCCGTGTGTAATAAATATCTCCAAATCTAAAAAATTAATTTGTTGGGTGCTAGTTTGTGCTGTTAAAATAATATATAACTGATTGTTATTCAAATAACTGATAAAAGATAGTAGATCTGTGTGGGATGTTGTCCAGACAAAAAATATATCATCTATATACCGGCGATAGGATACCAAGTTCGCCCCCCATGGGTGCCCTTGATAAATAAACTGTTCTTCCCAGTATGCCATGAAGAGGTTGGCATAACTAGGGGCGAACTTGGTACCCATCGCCGTACCTCTGATCTGTAAATAGAACGTCTCATTGAACCAGAAAAAGTTATTGGTTAAGACTAGATTGATCCCTTCTAAAATGAATAAAATTTGTTCATTCTTAAAACTGTGTTTCTTTAAAAAGTATTCTACTGCTTCTAGACCCTTCTCGTGTGGTATAATACTATATAGGGATGTCACATCACATGTGACTAACAGGTTGCCTTCTTGCCATAAAGTGGTTTCTAGGATTTGTAGAATATGAATCGTGTCCTTTAAATAAGCTGGATTTTGAACAACTAATGGTTGTAGGAGATGGTCTAGATATTCCGAGATTTTTGCTGAAACGGAGTTGACTCCCGATATTATAGGTCGTCCTGGGGGGTTGGCTTTGTTTTTATGTATTTTAGGGAGATGGTAATTCATTTTAGAAGGGATCAATCTAGTCTTAACCAATAACTTTTTCTGGTTCAATGAGACGTTCTATTTACAGATCAGAGGTACGGCGATGGGTACCAAGTTCGCCCCTAGTTATGCCAACCTCTTCATGGCATACTGGGAAGAACAGTTTATTTATCAAGGGCACCCATGGGGGGCGAACTTGGTATCCTATTGGCTATTATCTCTGCTCTCAAGGAGTGGCACCATCTGTTAGAAGGGTCAACCATTCCCATCACCATCCTTACGGATCACAAAAACCTTTCGTATTTTGGAGAAACTAAAAGAATGTCAGGCAGGCAGATTAGATGGTCTTTATTTTTAACATGATTCAATTACATAGTAACTTACAGACCAGGATCAAAGAACACTAAGGCTGACGCCTTATCCCGTCAACATGAACACTTATCACCTACAGTAACTAATTTTTCTTCCATAATCCCATCCAACCACATAATCGCCACCGTCCATGCCAAAATCTCTTCAGGGTTAATGGAGGAATTATCTAGGTTTCAGGATCAGACCTCATTGACTGTTCCCAGGGGAAAATTATACGTACCCTTGGCTTATAGGAAAAAGGTCTTATTCCTTGTACACAACTCCAAATTGGCAGGGCATCCAGGCATTCACAAAACTGAGTCTTTACTCGAAGAACAGTTTTGGTGGCCTTCATACAAGAAGGATGTTCGCAAGTTCATTCTTGCTTGTAGGGTCTGAACCTCGTCTGGTTCGTCTGTTTGAGAGGCGGCACTCTTGTGGGTCTGGTTCTCGAGGGGGGGTACTGTAACGAGCGCTTACCTTTCACTGCGTCCCGCGCAGCACCGGGTCCTCCTCCGATACTTCTGGGGGGCGGCTCAGCTCTTCTGACGCCGACCGCTCGGAACACGCCCACCTTTATGACGCGGCGCATGCGCGCCGACGTCAGAAAGAAAATGCCGCCAAAATTCAAACGTGGCCACGCTCCCGGACTTTTTGGGGGCGTGGCTACAAAATTAAAGCCAAAGAACCCACACTATAAAAGGGCTATCATGATACTTGTCAGATGCCCTAGTGTGGTTCTTGTTTAAAGTCCCCTGGTGCTATTATCTCTGTTTGTCCTTCTTGGTAATTGACCCTTGGCTATCTCTCCGACTATTCTGTTTTCTGGTTTCCCGTTACTTGGCTTGGATAATCGTGTGCCCGTCTTCCGTATTCCCTTGACCTCTGGCTATTCCTTTGACTATTCTCAGACGCTAGTCCGGCCATTCTAAGGTCCGGTAACCGTCTTTCTGTGGGTTTCACGCTGTGTGAAGGGGTCACTGTTGTGACATTGGTCACTGTCGTGACAACTTATGTGTGAGTTCTCACACCTTACAGAATAGCTGTTGGGGTCCTAGCTTCACAGAGGAACTTAGGTTGTAAGCTCCTTGCCTCCCATACAATCAAACTAACCCCTTTTGAAATTGACAATATCACCTCTACCAGGCAGCTAGTTCATATACGCACTACACAAGTTACACAAGTTACATTAAATGGCAGCATTCTATAGTGCAACAATGAATTATGTACCCTTGTCGTGAAAACCTCCCCCAGAAGATACCAGCTATTCGGTGATGTAACTTTCGTGGGGTTCTGAAATATTAAAATGTGTTTGTGGGGTGTTTTTGTTTTTTTTACCTGGGAGATAATTGAGTTTGTACTGTTCCTGACTCAAATTATCTCCCAGGCACAGGGGAGGAATTTGTGTGTAATTCTATGGAGACCCTCTACTGGGGGTCTGTGTATAACTTGGCTGTACCATGTCCCATTAAAAAGCAGTTGAGTTGACTCTCAGAACTGTGTGTCGTCCAGTTACTGTGGGAAAATGGATGTCTGCTTATTTTAAGGGCTCCAGAGTGGCTGAGAGAAGAAATTAGCCGAGGTAACCGGTCAGGTTACCTGTGGTCTGCTACAATAGTGTTTTTTTAAATTAGTATATCCAGGCCCAACTACAGCTGTTGCTGGTTTAAAGAATATTTACAAACTGCACTTTTTCCAAAATTCTGTATTTTGATAATTCAATCCACTACAATGCAGTCTTTAGTGTATATTGTCCAGAGAAATACATTTACCTTTGCTGAGAGTATGACAGTCAGGGCAAAGGGTCATGCAAAATTGACACAGAGAGGTAGACCAAATTTAGGCAGAATCAGTTTGCAAAGTCTAGTAACATAGAATCAAGGTGTATGGGATTTTTCAGATACCAAATGATTGCAAGTATGGTCAGGTGCAGACACTTTGATACTATGTTACTAGACTTTACAAATTGATTCTGCCTAAATTTGGTCTGTCCCTCGGTGTCAATTTTACATGACCCCTTGCCCTGATTGTCATACTCTCAGTAAATGTAAATGTATTTCTCTAGAGCAGTGGTTCCCAACCCTTTTTCACTTTAGTATGCCTTGACAGCCAATTTCCATAAATTGTACCCTTGACAGTAGTGAAATGTGCAATTAGTGGTAATGCTGTTATTTCAAATGTATAAATTTTTCTCTGCCCCGCTCCCCCTTTTTCTTTGCTCTAGACTCCCCTGCCCTAGCTATATGTATGTAACTGTGCAACTATATTTGTGTCATTGTTTGTACCTGTGTGTCTCGGGGTATCTACATATTATACAGTGCAGATTGCAGATACACACACTGCCACACATTCAGATACAGACACACACACTGCCACACATTCAGATACAGACACACACACACTGCCACACATGCAGATGCACAGACATACAGATACAAACATGCCACACATGCAAATACACATACAAACAATGACGCACACACACACAGATATAGACATGCAGATACATAGACACACACTGACACATGTAGATTCATAGACACACAGATACAAACACTGACACACATGCAGCTGTACAGGCACATTAATACACATGCTGACACAAATGCAGTTACACAGATACAAGCACTGCCACACATGCAAATACAGACACAACGGTACACACACTGACATGCATATAGATGTACAGACACAGAAACACTGCCACCTGTACAATTACACAGACACAGTGATACATACACTGACACACATGCAGACACACAGCTACAAACACTGCCACACATACAGTTGCACAGATACAAACACTGCTACACAAATACACACACTGCCACATATACAGATGTACAGTCACAGATACAAACACTACCACACATGCAAACACTGCCACACATAAAGTTACACAGTACACTGATGATACTAACATACATACAGATACACAGACACACCAATACAAACACTGTCACGCATACAGTTGCACAGACATATTGCCACACATGTAGATACAAATATATGGAAACACTGCCACACATACAGACAGATACAGACACATTGACACATACAGATGCCAACTGACACACATACAGATGTATAGAGACACGGGTACAAACACCGCCACACATGCAGATACACACTGCCACACATACAGCTGCACAGATACAGATGTAGATACACAGACATAGATACATGCACTGACACCTATACAGTTGCACAGACACACTTGAACACATGCATATACAGATACACACTTCCACACATACAGATGTATAGACACACAGGAACAAACACTGCCACACATGCAGATACACACTGCCACACATACAGATGTACAGATACACAAGTACAAACACTGCCACACATGCAGATACACACAGCAACACATACAGATTTACATATACACAAGTCCAAACACTGACACCCATGCAGATACACAATGAAACATGTAGATACACAGACATACAGATACAAACACTGACAAATATACAGTTGCACAGACACACTGGCACACATGCATGTACACACATACAAACAGTGACATACATGCAGGTGTACAGACACTGACACAAACAGATACACACCCTCACACAAGTACAAACACTGCAACACATGCAGATACATAGTTCACATATGCACACACTGACACATACAGATACACAGTGACACACATACAGATGTACAAACACACAAATACAAACACTTCCACATATGCAGATACACGCTGACACACATACTGATGTACAGACACACAGATACAACCACTGACATTCATCCACATACAATGGCACACAGGAACTGACACAGAGGAACAGAAACTCAGATGCAAACAATAAAACAAATGCAGATACACAGACATACAGATACTCAGATATATAAGCATTACATACATACACCCCAAAACACACATGCAATTCAAAATTTTAGTGAACCCCCAGTTTTCTACTTTTGAGTGCAGGAGGGTGACTCCTGCTGGTTGGGGCTGTTGGGGGCTTGCTCCTCTCCAGGTCTGTCCCCTCTTGTCTGTTTCCGGTGTGACTGGGTCTGTGTCAGCTGGGAGGAAGTGACAGGTTATTCCATTTGAAAAAGTCTTTGACGAAACGCGTTATGGAAATTTAATTATTGTGTTTGTAAATAAATTAAAGTATTTTTGGTCATTTGTTTGTGCCAATAATCTTTTTTTTAGAGACACATAATTTTTCTTTTTTTTTTATCCTGGCTTTTTAAAGTATTTTATAATTATCTTATTTTTATTGGTTTTACAAAAACCTTGAAAATTCCTGGAAGTTTCCTGCACTTAAAGAAATCCTTAGGTGGGGATCAATCCACCCAAGCTGTCATCACGGAGCAGTTGGTCTGCTCTTGTTTTGTAAGTACATTCTTTTATTATTTTATCAATATTGCTATACAGTGAGCACTATTGGTTGTTTCTTTTATTTCGAGAACTGGACACGAATTACAGAGAGGAACCCATCAAAATCCTATAAGCGGGGATCAAACCGCTGTATGCGCTTTATTCCAGAGCTAGGCCATTAGCTCTGGTAAATGTGAGTTTTATAATATTATTTCTTCACATCCACATTTGAACTTTACGTACTGCACTATTGGTTGTCCTTCTCTCCTTTTTATCTTTCATATAAGTGGAACCACTACAATAGTAGAAGACGTCACCAGCAAAGACCATTTGTAAGGATTAAACAGTTGGACTTTTTCTCTCTTTTTAATTTGGACTTTATCCTTATTTGTGTGCGCAGCCTTTTTTATTGTTTTTATTTAATAGACAATCACAGTCTGCTTAAACTAATAACACACAAAGACTGAAATGTTGCCATGTTTTTATTGAACACACCATGTAAACATTCACAGTGCAGGTGGAAAAAGTATGTGAACCCCTAGTCTAATGACATCTCCAAGAGCAGTGACTGGCGGTATACACTTTTAATTTCTGTCTTAACACAAAATGTCTGCTAGTATAAATATATTGACAAGACGATTTACTTGACTTTAGAATCTGGTCTCCCATGCGCTCTACAAGAGGTTAAAAATGACGGTTCCCTGTTTTTCATTCTAGTTGAGCAGTCAAATGTAACTCTATCCTCTTGCTCCGCTATCTATATTCTTCATGATTCTATCAAAAGTAAGTGTAGCCAAACACAGATTTTCATCCTCATACTCATTGTAAGAACACAGTTTCAGATAATCAAACAGCTTGGTATGCAAGACTTTTGGCCACACCTATTTTATACCGTCTTAGATTACAATGCTGACAGTAAAGATTATTACTGTATGTCAGTTGTATTCTTTGATCACTTGTAAATTAGTACATCTGGAAATCACAAACAATTTGCTGATCTGGAAAAAATAAAACAAAAAATACACAATCTACAAAGATCACATTATTTCAATTCATGCGGCTGCATGAACTGCTGACTAACATTAAACACATACCCATAAAATATATATTAAATTTAAAAGTCAGTATTTGTTTCTGCCTGTTTAAAGGAAAGCACCATTGTAACCGTGGAAGTGTTCAGAAGCCAAACACAGAGAAATGGACACAGGTATTCAGGAAGTAAGAGGCCTTTATTCACGTACCAATCGGGTCTCAGATGGACTAACGTTCCACAACAGATCTGAGCCCCGAACACATGGAGTACATTCCTTATATAGCACTATAGCTCCTCCCATAAATAGCTACACCCACACATACTAATCAATGAACAGAGTCTAGACTCATCCGGTCTAACCACGTGGCTCATCCGAAACAAAGGGAAGGGAGTGTGTTTTCAGTTCCTACATTCCTGCACATGCTCAGTACATTGATGACAGTATCTTAGCTACATGTAACTAACTAACTGATACTACAAACACATGTACCTACAATCTTGGCCTACTAAACTTTTATTTTACTGGAATTCCATCCCATTCCCCCCTTTGAGGCTTCTGATTTAAAATAATTCCAGATGCATCACCAATCATAATTTGCCAACACCTCTCAATTAGCCATGAACCAGAACAGACTTCGTAAGTATCTTTAGCATATTCTTTCAGCATTCCCCATCCTGAATATGCTCTCTTTGGGCTAAAAGTTCATATCTACAGACAGCCATTACATGGGCAGCTGTCTTCCTCTCAATAGTGCTGTCTATAACACTTTATATGGACCTGACCACTCATGGAATTAAGCAGGGCAGAAAGAGACATAGGAATATAATAAATACTACTCCTCCTACTAATGCCTTAATCCCTCCAAACTGCTCATACCAACTTCCAAACCAACTACTTGGGTTATACCCACTCCAGACCTGAGTAGGTACATGCGCAAGTTTAACCATGTGACTGGTAAGTTCAGCCACTGCCTGCCCTTCGTCTATGTGCAGACAACAGTTACTTAGATTAAACTTCCCGCATACACCTCCCTCTACTGCTAATAAGTAGTCCAGAGCTAATCTATTTTGATAGATGGCTGATCTCATTCGAGTATTATGTTTAGCTAGGCGATTGAGTGCTTTTGCTGTCTCATTGGTGATAATCTCAACTACCGCCTGTAGTCTTATAATACGGTTAAGCATATATATTGGAGTTCTATATCCATAAGTACCATCTTCTGCCCAAGTAGCCGGTCCATAATAATAATAATACGTTGGGGAGGCCACACATCATCCTCCCAGCTACCTATATTCAAAGATTTACATCATAAACCTTAACTCCCAAGGTCTCTCCTGTTTCAATTGGCAACAAGAAGAATGATGGTTTGAGCATACCTAGTACACATGCCCCTTCCCAGTCTTGTGGTAACTCTGAATATGCCTTCTTACCACAGATACCAGTATAGATTTGCTGGGGCTTTCCAATTGGATGTAGCAGATACATCAAACCTTACCTCTTTCAAATTAGTGTAATTGGCAAATGGATTAGTAGGTTCTGAGACATCTGAAGCTGACCACCAAGTAGTATCTTTTGTATTATCATTATAAGCCTTTTGTCCCAAACATGTTAACTCACCTACAGACGTGTTATACATTATCCCTTTCCTAGCTACACAAACATAACCTATAATAGAGGTTTTTAACCGCCATTCTGATTTACCTCTAGTATTTACTTGATGATCAGACTGAGAAAGTATCTGTTGTTCATCTGTCTCAGAACCAGGGTACCATGCTTCCTTTGCTTCCCATGGCCACTCGTCTCCCATATTAGTACCTCCACATACAAAACAGTTAGTTACATTAAGACTACCCGCAATACTCTCAGCTAAATCTACAAATAGGTTCTTAACATTATGGGGAATTTTATCCTCAATACTCATCTCCTCATAGAAGGAATGAAAAACCTGATGAGTTTGGGTTGCTACTGTCTCTGTTTCAATGCCTACATAAATAATGGCCCCAGGATCCAACCCTGTTCCATATATTTGGAACCCAAATAGATTTCCGAACTTGTCTATGAAGTGTTGCGGATTAGAAATGGTCATATGGACCGGATTACACTCCATAGATTTACAATGTGGTGTGGTAGGCAACCTTTGGATAATCATATCTTGGGCTACTGTTTTACCCCAGGTTGCCCACCCCACACAAGACCAATATGGACAGAAATTAAAATCTCTATTTGGGCAATCAGGATCAGTAGATATTTTACTGGGACATAAATATTTGTCATTGAACCCATAAGTTCGTTCCCACTTTAGATTACCACATACATTCCAAAGTTTTCCACTACCCGAGATCTAGGTATGACTTCTCGCAACAGGAATCGTACAACTTCTCCTGCTTTTTCCGACCGGGTTGGACAAGCTTCTACCCAACCTGAGTAGGTACACACAGCTACCAACAGATAACGATATCCTCCAGATTTAGGCATTACTGTATAATCTATTTGCAGATCTGACATGGGGAGTCCTCCCATATACCCCAGGAGGTTTAACAGGGCCTTGTCTTGCGTTGTTCTTTGCACACAGAACACATCTTTGAACAATGGCTTGAGTAAGATTGGATAATCTTGGTATATAGAAATGTTTCCTGAGATATTCTTCCATACTTCCTGTATGTGTGCCATTGTGGAAGTTCTGAACACTCTCTATAGCCAGAGATGTCGGAATTACTATTCTTCCATCTTCTAACTGATACCAATTGTTCTCCAAATATTTTCCCGCTTCAGTCTTCAACCACTCCATCTCTTGAGTTGTATAAATCGGAGTCCATTGAGACAAAGGGGCCGGCAGAAGGGCAGTGACGTACCCCACATATTCCTCCTGTCCAGATTCCTTTTACCATAACACAATCGCTTCTCAGATGTGCTCTACAATGTATAATACCGACCTCCTTTGGCTCCCATACTGCTTCCAATAGTTGAAGTATTTCAGGTGCATACTTGGTTTCTTTCCCTTCTGAATTTAACAACCCTCTTTCTTCATACAAGGCTCCATGGGCGTGAGTGGTTAAAAATGCATATTTTGAATCAGTATATATGTTCACCTTCAACCCTTCAGCCAAGTGCAAGGCCCGTGTCAATGCAATCAATTCTGCCCTCTGTGCTGATGTCCCTTTTGACAGTGGCCGTGCCTCTATCACCTTGTCTATAATTGTTACTACATATCCTGAATAGCGAATTCCATCTTTCACATAGCTACTACAATACGTATAATACTGTACATCCGGGTTCTGGATGGGAAAGTCATGAAGGTCCGGTCGGCTTGAAAACACCTCATCCATTATTGCCAAACAATCATGTTGACTTTCAACAGGTTGTGGCAAAAGGGTAGCTGGATTCAGGGTATTAACAGTCTCAAGGTGTACTCTTGGATTTTCACATAGCATGGCTTGATATTTAGTCATTCGGCTATTACTGAATCAGTGATTACCTTTGTAATCCAGTAGAGTCTGTACTGCATGAGGTACTCGCACATAGAGTTCCTGACCCAGTGTAGCTTCTGCTACCAACAGGGCAGCGGCGGCCACTGCTCGTAGACAAGGTGGAAGACCACTGCCACTGCATCCAGCTGTTTGGACATGAACGCAACGGGTCGTTGTCATGATCCCAAATACTGAGTTAGTACTCCCACAGCCATTCTTCTTTGCTCATGTACATACAGATAGAATGGACATACATGATCAGGTAAACCTAGGGATGGGGCACTCATTAGTGCTTTCTTGATATCCTCAAATGCCTTCTGCTGTTCAGTGGTCCATAGGAAGGGGTCATATTCTGTGCCTTTTATAGCTCCATACAAGGGTTTCGCCAATATCGCGTAATTAGGAATCCATATCCTGCAGAATCCTGCTGCTCCTAAGAATTCTCGCACCTGTGTCAGCCAGACCCACATATCACTTAGGTATCGGTATCTGACATACCGCTTTTTTCCTTTCGGGTCCCATTATCCTTTGACCTTCAGAGATATGGAATCCTAAATATTCGACAGTTGACTGGCACAATTGCGCTTTCTTCCTAGATACTTTGTATCCTGCCTTCCAGAGAATTTGAAGCAGATCATAAGTTGCTTTTTGGCATATCTCTTTAATAATTGCCGCTATCAACAAATCATCCACATACTGAAGTAATACACATTCTCCTGGAATGGACTTGAAATCTTGCAGGTCCTGGCTTAGTGCGGATCCAAATAAGGTAGGTGAATTCTTGAAGCCTTGAGGTAGTCTAGTCCAAGTCATCTGACGCTTTGAACCAGTAACAGCATCTTCCCACTGGAAGGCAAAGATACACTGACTCTCAGCAGCAATTCGAAAACAAAAGAAAGCATCCTTGAGGTCTAAGACTGTAAAGTAAGTTGCCCCACCTGGTATCAAGGCAAGCAGATTATAAGGGTTGGGTACAAGTGGGTGTATATTAACTACCGCATCATTAACTGCTCTTAAATCTTGTACAGGACGATACTCATCTGATGCTGGCTTCTGAACAGGTAACAATGGAGTATTCCAGGGGGAAGAACAGAATTTTAGGATACCATACCTTACGAACTTATCCAAGTAGGTCTGTATGTTTCTCTTTGTCTTTTGAGGTATGTGGTACTGTTGTAGACTCACGGGATAGGCCCCAAGCTTCAACTCAATATGTATAGGTGGAATATTACGGGCAAGCCCTGGTGGATTTTTTTCTGCCCATACTCCTGGAATGTCAAATAGGGATTCATCACTCTTAGGGTTTACACTTGTCATTATCGTGTAGAAGCGCCATTCTTCTTCCCTTGGCACCGATATCGCCATTATGCCCGATGATCCATTAAACTTCAGGGATGTCGATCCATTGGGTAAAAAGGTTATTTGGTCTTGAAGCTTTCATAATAAATCTCATCCTAAAAGTTGGATTGGACACTCAGGCATATACAGAAATTGGTGCTTCACCAAATGGCCTCCCAGAATGCAAGTGCAACTCTTAAGAACCGGTCTAGCAGCACTCTTTCCAGTTGCTCCTATAACTGTTATGGTTTTTCCTGATGGAGGAGCAACTAATTTGGTCACCACGGAATGTTCAGCCCCAGTATTAATCATAAAAGGACTTCTCTTTCCCCCTATTGCTACATCGACCATAGGCTCCGCTCTGCCAAGGGGGATGGAGCTCGGTCGGTATCAATAGTCCTCCATAACAGTGTCAGCCAGACCCACAAAATCTCTATCCTCTCTTTCTCTAAGTCTCTGCGTGGGTGGATAATATCTGTCCCCTTGATCACGTCTTCTATTATTCCCACTATTTCCTCCAAAACTTCCTCTTCCTCTATAGTTACCACCATAACCTCCCCGCACTCTTCTCTCTTCTTGTCGGTCATTTTCATAATGCTCTCTCTGCGGGCATGCACACTGATTCCTGCTTAGTGGTCCCCTACTCAACCTATTTTCAACTCCTCTATTCACCTCCCTTCCCTGTGTCTCTACACTTGCAAAAGCTACCGCTAGCATATCTGCCTTCTTCCTCATTTTACGTTCTTCTTCCATCTCTGTTTCTCTATTCATGTATACTTTATTCGCAATCTCCATCAACTGTGATATAGACATCCCTACAAATCCCTCTAACTTCTGTAATTTCCTTTTAATATCACCTTGGGCCTGGCTGACAAAGGCTGAATTAACCATTCAGGAATTCTCAGGAGCCTCTGGATTAAAAGGAGTATACAATCTGTATGCCTCCAGTAATCTTTCATAAAAGGCACTAGGTGACTCGTCAGCTTTCTGCAACACCTCAGCCGTCTTTGACATATTGATTACCTTTTTCCCTCCTGCCTTCATGCCAGCAATAATGGCTTCCCTATAAGCTCTTAAATGGGGCATATCAGCGCCATTAATATTCCAGTTCGGATCCACATTCGGCTAATGGGCTGCAGCCCATGCAGCCGGATTGGCCTGGTTCTGAACACGGGCCGCTTCCTCAAGCGCTTTAATAGCCGCTTGATTAATCTGAGTCCTTTCCTCATTGTTAAATAAAGTCAATAGTAATTGCTGGCAATCAGCCCAAGTAGGATTGTGGGTTTGTATGATCGAGGCAAACAAATCTGTCATGGCTTGAGGCTTTTCAGTATATGAAGAGTTATGTGTCTTCCAATTAAATAAGTCAGTCATAGTGAAGGGAACATAAACAAATACAGGGTCTGCCTGATGCAATTGACCATTATCGTCAACGTGTGTTGGGCCCGGTGTAAGTCGGAGAGGCATTTGGTAATGTCAGGGTTGGAGGGTACAAGTCATCTGTCGGGATAATACAGGGCTTCGGTGAGGTTGTTTAATATTAAGTTCCGGTCTAGGGGTAGTGAGACAAGGAGATGAGGACAACTGATTTTTACTGAACGAAAGGTCAGTTAACAGGATATTCTGGGCCGAGCTGGGCGGAGCCTGACCAGGAACCAGAAATGACGTCAGATCCGGATATGCAGAACTAATGGAGGTAGGTACCGGAAGGGGAGGGCTTAAGGTAAGTGGGCTGGGTTCTGAACTGGATGAATGAGTGGGAGGAGACACAAGTGGTAGGGGGAGTGGCAACACTGGCAACACCTCCTCTAGCCTTGGAGGAGGAGTAAGGGGGTGGTAGAGGAAGCTCAGACTCAGTGGGCGTATCTAAAATGGGCGGAGTTACGGCCCTAATGGACAGGAGAGTTCTGGCCATCATGAGGCGACATTGCTCCTCGTGGCATACTTTAATCAATTTGGGTTATCCTTCCACAACCTGTTTCCAACAATCAATGTACGGAAACTGATCGTAAAATTCAGGCCTACTAGATCCAGCCACGTGTACACGCTGCACTAGATTTGGATCAAGACTACCACGTGGAGGCCATGCGGTCACCAAAATAGGCCATTCTCTGCTATACAATGTAGTCAGACGCTTTGGGGATAATTTTACACCAAAATCACAAACATTGTATCCCTTTGCGAAATTGTTTAGCATACATGACAAGGGATCAACGATCTTTGAATCAGACGCACCCATACCTAGCAACAGAGCGTCAAATTCAAAGAAACACAACAAACACACTCCCAGCAGTCACACCCATTTCCCTGGCAACAGCACCATGTGGCACAGTTACTAGGCCAAAAACACGCGGAGAATTCTCATACACACAGTGATAACACGACGTCTTCACACACAAAGATTCACCAAACACTAGATACTTATCTCTGTAACTATAAATCAAACCCTGCAATCATCCACACAGTAAATCAACTTTCAATTACCCGACTATAACACACTCCAGTAACATCGTCTTTACAATCATTAGTTATGGTACGGTTAGCAAGTGGTTATGGTACAGTTTTAGAATCACAGGTCAATTAGTAACAGTTATGGTATTACACATATAACACAAAACAACAGGTTTTTAGTAGTTATATACAATACACAATGTCAGTAATTATAATACATGTTAGTGGTTATGGTACCGTGCACTATTATACAGTTATACACACAATTTACACCCCCACTAGACAGCAGAGCTCAAGCTTTCTAACAGGACATACAATTTAACCAATTCACCAGTTCACCAACTACAGTATATCTAACAATATTTACAATAATTCCAACTATTCTAATTGGCCAGCACCTTGAGAACTATCGAACTATTTACACCAAGGTTCGGTTAGTCTACGCTGCCCAAGCACCACATATAGCGAACTAATGAGCGGAATGTACAACAGGACTCATTTAGTCTATTTACTCTATCAATAGTCTAGTGGTTGAATTTACACGCCTCCCACTTAGCCAAGATAGGTTGAGATCTAGCAGACTGAATGTACACCAGAATCTGCTTAGTCTCCTGGTCCCCCCGACCTAGCGACCAAAATTTACACCTAAATACACTAGTCAAGACAGGACACCGGTGTCCGACATGAACTATTTACACCAAAATTCAGTCTGACCCAAACCACCTGTAGTAGACGGGCTGACTACAGAGCGTCTAATTTCCAATAAGAACCTTTGCTTCTTCCTTCCAGAGGGAAGGGGCAAATTCCATACAACCAAACCAAATACAAATCCCTTGTGGGCCTACCGCTCTAACGGTATTAATCTGACCTCTTCGTTCCTGGACTTGGGCTTCACACTCATCGACGGGGCACCCCGGTACTCACTGCTCAGAAGCTGATAATCTCCTGGACAAAAGGCCAGTGGCGCCGAGACGAAAGGAGGTCCACGCAGAAGTCCAGGGGTGCTGTCATGGAGAACGTTGGTAAAGATCTACCGTCTCACATCTCTGTCTTAGCTACCGTGACGATGAGCTTCCCGGCTAATGCACCAGAGATGTAACTGTGGAAGCGTGCAGAAGCCAAAGGAAATGGACACAGGTATTCAGGAAGTAAGAGGCCTTTATTCACGTACCGATCGGGTCTCAGATGGACTAACGTTCCACAACAGATCTGAGCCCCGAACACATGGAGTACATTCCTTATATAGCACTATAGCTCCTCCCATAAATAGCTACACCCACACATACCCTTAACCAATCAATGAACAGAGTCTAGACTTGCTCATCCGGTCTAACCACGTGGCTCATCCGAAACAAAGGGAAGGGAGTGTGATTTCAGTTCCTACATTCCTGCACATGCTCAGTACATTGATGACAGTATCTTAGCTACATGTAACTAACTAACTGATACTACAAACACATGTACCTACAATCTTGGCCTACTAAACTTTTATTTTACTGGAGTTCCATCACACCATCGTTAAACCCAAAAATCTCACTACATTGTTTGTTTTCTATTTAAACATGTTTTTTTCAAGCCCCCTTAACTTGCTTACAGAATGTACCCAGATAAAAGGTTTCATACTGGTCACTTGCTGCCCAAATTGCAATTTCCTTTACTCTTCCCCATAATTTCAGAAATGTTTAAATGAAACCATTTGCAACTGGAAAGGTGAGCAGAATGGGCATCGTACCTTGTACTGCAGACGCTTCATAGGCAATAAAGCAAACCACACATCTCTGAAAACTGAAAGATATTTAAATTTCAGCTACACCAGTTTTTCATTGATTTGTATAATGAAGATGTTTAAAACTACATGAATTTCATGCAAAGCAGCAACTGCCAATTTGTTTTCGCTTTGCTGTGCTGCAGATTTTTTATGGAAAATGTCCCCCTTATTTCTTGACACAGCATTGTGTCTGATGATTGCAATGTATTGGGTAGAAAGTATCTACTTGTTTTAAAGCAAAATGTGTGTGAATTCTTCTCAATCGTTAAAGGGACACTATAGTCACCAAAACAACTACAGCTTAATGTAGTTGTTCTGGTGAGTAAAGTCAGTCCCTGCTGGCATTTTAATGTAAACACTTTCTTTTAGAATCACACTGGAGGTGCTTCCTGGGCAAGTCACTGACATTCAATGTGACACTGAGCTTTCCTCATAGAGGAATCTCTATGAAAAGATTCTGATTGACCAGGGTGGAATTTGGCTCCACCCCTGGGGCTACTTCTTATGGGAAAGCATTGCGATTTGGCTGAGATCATCGGTTCTGATTATGTCATCCAAGGAGGTGGATCAGAGACAGGGCCAGTGATGGCAGACCAGCTCGTCGCTGGAATAAAGGTGAGTAAACTACATATTTAAAAGGAATAAAGGAGATGCAGCCACCTAGTTAGTTTAACACTATAGGGTCAGGAATACACGTTTGTATTCCTGACCCCTAAGTGTTCATTTAAGTGACATAAGTTAACAGTTGCATGATATGTCAGTAAATGTTGCAGTCTTAGGGCTTACTTACTAATTCTGAAATTTAACGGGGCCCTCCTCCCCCATCGCCAAATAAGCATTTCATAAATATAAATTCTGTAGTCAGTGAAATTCCAACCCTGTGAAAATATGTAAACCAATGTAGGCACAAAGCTTGACAAAAAGGTATAGCTACCGATGTCTGACCGCAGCCATCACTAGTGACGCATCGAGGGGAGAAAGACTATCTATGAAGGATCCCACAGTCTTGCAGAATTCTCCATAGAAATCAGTGTTACACTCTCACACATGTGCGAGAGTACAGCACAGTCATTTCCGGGCAGATGGAGCTACATAGGCTGAAGGGGACCTTGCAGAAAAAAAATATGGAACCTGCAAGGGACAGATTAAGGTAAGTTTAAAAATCAAACAAACAAAAAAAAAAAAAACTACCTTCCCATACCCACCATGGCCATCGGAATACAAACAGAGCATTTACTTCTTGTCCCCACCAATCCTAGGGATCCCCCCCGAACTGTAACTGCCTCCGTTCGTGGGATGCCTGGGTGAAACCAGGCAAGGGAAGCGTCCTCGTTCGGGACATGAAGGCTCCCCCTGGCTGTCTTTCGTCTATACGAATGGCGGCCACCCAGGGAAGTGCTCAATAATTACTTCCCTTGCAAATTGCCGGCAATCTAATTAATTAGTGTAAACACTCCAAGGGGCACTGGGAAGGTCCTCGCTTGGGAGCTGAACAAGGTGAGAAGCAATCTGTGAATGCTCCCCCTGGACAGCTTTCGTTTAACGAACAGGCCACCACCCAGGGTTGGCACGCGCCAAGGCTTCTCTTGTGGTTTGTGGTTTTCACACCTCGTTAGCGAGGTTTGAACATTTTAATGAGGCGTGAAAATTCTAAATGAGGTATCGAGGTGGTCCCCGTTTGGGAGGCAAACAGAACCTTTTCGTATGGAGCCAACGGGGAGCAAGTAAAACATATGAACAAACACAAATATAGGGGAAAAACACTAGGAATTACACACAGCAATTCACGGACTGGCAGGCGTCCTGCCACACAGCTCCCCCTTAACCACAAGCCAGCAAATACAATCTGATCCCAACGGAGTGGCTTTGGGAAGTATTCATGGTTCACTTAGGACTGTCTGTCTGGACAACCCGTCAACATTGACGTTCTGCTTACCAGGTTGGTAGTGAATCGTGAAGTCATACGGTTGTAGGGCCAGGCTCCACCTCAGCAGCCTGGCATTGTCCCCAGCATCCCGGTTAAGCCATACTAACGGGTTGTGATCTGTGATCAGGGTGAAAATATGCTATCCATTGCTATATATTGATAAAGCCTTATACTGGCGAAACGCGTTTGGATACTTTTACTGTTTTTATATACTGTTAATAAAAAGATTTTGGTCATTTTTTACGTTTAAACCATCATCTTTTACTATTACCTGGCTTTTTATAAATATTTTATACTATATACTTCTTTTATTATTTGTATTTCCTGCATATTATACTCCAAAGAATCCTAGGTGGGGATTATACCACCTACGCTGTTACATAGAGCAGTTAGCCTGCCCTATACATTGTGAGTATATTTTATTATTTTATTTCATTACCAAGATTTTATTGAGAGCACTATCACTGTTTTATCTTCTCTCCGAGCTCCTGATATTCTCGTCAAGATCACTCATCCTATATCCTACAAGCGGGGATGATACCGCTGTAGCCTAACAAACTAGAGCTAGCCGAAGCTCTACCGAATGTGAGTGTATCTATTATATTTTATATCTTTTATTGCACGTGTGGAACATACTGCACCATTATTGTTTCCATTTTTATTTCCAACTTGGTTACCTGCCACTACATAGAAGAGGACACTTGCCGTATATCCTACAAGCAGGGATAATACCGCTGTAAGCCATTCACACCAGAGCTGGATTAAGCTCTGTCAACTGTAAGTAAGAACTCTTCTATTTTTACATATTTGGATTACCCTTCACGTCATTGACATCTTCTGGATATCACAAAAAGTAGAACTTTGAAAACAAGAATATATACAATCTGATCCCAACGGAGTGGCTTGCGGAAGTATTCATGATTAATAAAATCATGACTTTACATCATGATAATAGTAAAATCTGGGAATTTTATAAAAGACACAAAGGCTCCTATTATGCTAGTTCAAAGCTGTGAAATCACGGCTTCTGCAAAATGCTGGATTGGTAGAAATTACAGAAAGTAGACTCCCAAGACCAATCAGCCACTTTTAAAATATCCTCCAAACGACAGCCAGCAAAGGAGGCCTTAGAAGCCATAGCACTGCAAATCAAATGAAGAGAAAAAATGGAAAATGAAAAGTCATGGGGCTGAACCTGTCCAAAGGGGGGGCGGTACGTGCTTTGTAAACACATAGGCACGCCACCGGACAGAGTTGTGGTTTCAAGGGAAAAGCCGGGTAGAAGACCGAAAGAGAAGACAATTTTATCCTCTGTGAAATGTCAAAAACAACCCCTTCGGGGGAGAAAGAGCGAACATCAACATAGAGTGCCCTAACATCTGATACTCTCTTGCACGCAATTAAACAAAACAGCATAACTAGTTTAGCCAAGATTTGTTTCAGGGATAAAGACTCGTTATCCAGCCAATTGTTAAGAAAATTTAGCACCAGAGGAATGTCCCATAAGGAGGAATAGCGAGGAAGAGGCGCCCTTGCAAAACGAATGCCGCGAAGAAGACGACAAACGGGTGACATCCAATCGGGGCACCATCAATACTGGCATGACCAGCCGAAATAGCTGAACGGTAGAGGTTGACCGTCCGATATCCCTTCCCGTTATCATAGAGGTTAGTCAAAAATTGGAGGACAGTTGTCACAGGAGTTGATAGGGGATCCACACCCTGTTCCACGCACCAATCATTCCATGTGCACCAAGCAGACTTGTAAGACTGTCTCATGCTGGGTGCCCATTAACCCTCGAGAAGTCTGAGGGTCAACTGCGAAACTCCCTTGTTTGACCAGAGTCTCCGGAAATTAGCCAGCTCATGAGGTGGAGAGGGCCCTGAAGAATCAAGAGGTGGAGGGTCCCGTAAGAGAGATTGCAAATTCGCAAGAAGACAGGGGCGGTCTACCGCCATCTCCAGGAGAGGCGGGAACCAAGGTTGTGACAGCCACAAGGGGGTCACTATGACTAGGAAGCCCAATTGACGCCCAAGATGGAGGAGGCAGTGAGGGATAAGGGCAAATGGATGGAATGCATAATTCCTGGTGCTGGACGAGTCCAGGAATAATGCATCCGTAGCCAATGCTGCTGGATCCGGCCTCCAACTGAAAAAGTTTGGAAGCTGTATATTCAAGAGAGACATAAACAAGTCTACCCACAAAGATCCCAAATGCACTGAAAGATTTGAGGATTGAGGTGCCAGTCGCTGGAATCTCGAAGATGGCAGGAATACCAATCTCCTGTAATGTTGGATAGACCGGGGAACCCTCAGGGCACTATAGTGGTCCTTTAAACAGCCTCCCTTCGTGGGGTCCCCATGTGAAACCAGGCAAGTGTCTCCTTTCGGGGTTCGAATGCTCCTCCTGGTTGGCGTTCGTTTATACGAATGGCGGCCACCCTGGGAAGCACTCAATTACTTCACTTGCGGTTTCACACTTATGTTGCTAGTTGTGAATGTTCTAATTGATTGGTGCGAACATTCCAATGGGCACGGGGAAGGCCCGGATGAGGTGGGAAGCAATCTGCGAAGTGAAGGCACGTGCCGAGGCTTTCCTTGTGGTTTGTGGTTTTAAAGCCTTGTTACGAGGTACGAACGTTCTAAACCAATATTCTAAATTAGGTATTGGGGGAACAGGCACATTTATATGAAATAGCAGGGAAAAACAAAACTTGTAACAAGGCAAAGCACTAACAGGCAGCGGTCCCACCACAGACACCTTTTGCTGATGGGGACCATCCAGTAAATATATTATACCAATGATGCCCTGTATCAGCTACAATTTTATTATCAATACTATGTAATTTATTGGCTACAATAATGGTTTGTTTCTGTGTCTCATGTAGAGATTGATTAATGTTTTGTAGGTGTCTAGCCATGTAATGCGTATTATTAATCATGTCAATAAGGGATGCAGTGGGAAGAGCGATGACATAGACGTACGTAGCCGGCGTCCTCGTGGTGTGTGGCTGGGGAATGCTCGAGTCGAGGAGAAGGAGTAGCTCATGCTGGCGGAATGCCCAGGGCTGGATGAGGGAAAGGATGGTGGGTACTTCAAGCGAGAGGTCCTGTCTGAATGCAGTTGTGCTCAAAGGGAGCAAGACGATAGGCAGTTCAGGAAAACAAAAAAGAACGCTAAGCAACTCAGGATACATGGACAAGATACACTGAAGAAATATAATGGAGAAGTACTGAAGCCAGTCTAAAGCTAAGTGCATAGTTGATGCAACTGATACTAGCAAATTATCACTTCAGGCAAAAGTGGGTAAACCACCTAAAGAATAGTTTCTCTTTTTCTCTCCCTATTTGTTGAAGCTTTGCTTTTTATGTTTTTTTTTTTTTTTTTTGCTTTATGCCACTCCTTCCTTTAACTATTTCAGTAATTTCAAAAGAGGATATAATATGAGGCTTTAGCTGGCTAATAATGGTTAGGGATAGGGGGAAAATTTATTAAATATCTCCTTTATGTTTTTTACTTATTATTCAGGGTTTGTTTGTTTTTTTGGGGGGGTGGGGTTTAATAAAAGAAAAGAAAGGGGGGGGAGGAGATGTAAGGGAATGGAAAAAGTGTATGAACCCCTGATCACGTGTTGGGAGAAAAGGGGAAAAAAGGAAAGGAAAAAAAGAGAAGAAACGGTGTTAAGAGTACCTAAAAGTACTATAAGAAACCCCTAAAAAAAATAAAGGGAAGAAGAAGAATAATAAGGAAAGGGAAAAGAAGGGAGAAAAAAAAAGGAGGAAAGAAATGAGGGGGGAAGAGGAGAGAAGGAAGGGAGATAAAAGGAGAAGGAAATATGTCCACCAAAAAGACGCAAAATGGCAATCAACTGAAGTAGAAATTTTTTTGTCTTCCTTCTCTCCCAACCATCTCTGAATAAATCAAATTTAGATGTGTCACACCACATAACCAATCCGATAGAAGGAGAAACGAGTGGTACACAAACAGAGACAAAATATAACGCAAGACAGGAAGAAAACCTATATGAACAATTACTCAGTCATCTAGACACAGGGCCGGCACCACCATTAGGCAAACTAGGCATTTGCCTAGGGTGCCGAGATATTTCCTGGTGGGCTCCCCCTGTCTTGTGTCGCAGAGCTGGTCGAGTGTCTCTAGAGCCGCCCCCCCCTCCGCGCTGGGCTGCTTCTCCAGGCGCCCGAAGGTAGGGTGCCCAGAGGAGCCCTGTCACAGTATGGCACCTTCTTACCTTGATGACAGGTGTCAAGGGAGGCTCTTCTTGCAGCCACTCACTCCTCCCTCACATGCCCTCTGTGATGCTGGGAACCGGAATATGACGTAATTCCGGCCCCGGCATACTAAACAGTGGGTGGGAGAAGTGAGGAGCTGCTCCACACTGGACCCCAGGGAGGTGAGTGTGTGTGTGTCTGTCAGTGAGTGAGTGTCTGTCTGTGTATGTGTGTCTGTCTGTGTATGTCTGTCAGTGAGTGAGTATATGTCTGTCAGTGAATGTGTGTGTCTGTTGGTCATTGAGTGAGTGTATTTATGTCATTGAGTGAGTGTATGTCTGTCAGTGAGTGTGTGTGTGTGTGTGAATGTCTGTCAGAGAGTGTCTGTGTGTGTCAGTGAGTGAATGTCTGTCTGAGTTTCTGTGTGTGTGTGTGTGTCAGTGAGTGAGTTTATGTCTGTCAGTGAGTGTATTTCTGTCAATAAGTGTGTGTGTGTCAGTGAGTATATGTCTGTCAGTGAATGTGTGTGTGTGTGTGTGTCTGTCATTGAGTGAGTGTGTCAGTGACTGAATGTCAGTGAGTTTCTGTGTGTGTCAATGACTGAGTGAATGTCTATCAGTGAGTTTTTGTGTGTGTGTGTCAGTGAGTGTGTATGTGTGTATGTGTGTCAGCATGTGTGTGTCTGTCAGTGAGTGACATGAAGGGGCAGCAAAATTGATCTTTGGCCGGGGCGACAGAAATCCTTGCACCGACCCTGTCTAGCCACACAATTTGAGAAAATTAAGGAGGAAATGCAAGTGAATACACAGGACATCAAGCGAGACCTTTCCTAATTAATCCCAAGGATACAAAGTATTGAAGAAAAACTAGAGATTATCCAACATGTGAGAAACTCCCACCAGGAAGAACATGCTATTTTTCTAGAAAGAAAAATAGCGGATCTGGAAAGTAAAATTATAGATCTGGAGGACAGATCAAGGAGGAACAGCCTAAGAATTAGAGGTGTGTCAGAACAAATAAAGACAACAAAATTGGAAACATATATAGAAGAATTTTTTCAAATCTATGAAAGTTAAATGGGATATCAAAAGCCCTATGATGGAACGTTGTCACTGAGTTAACAAGCCAAGAGGCGTACCAGACCACCTACCAAGAGATCTATTGGTTTGTTGCTCCTTTTTTAAACACAAGTGACAAATCCTGAGAAAAATAAGTAGCAAGAGAGGTGAGAATGGACAACAGCTCAATTAGCCTGTCCTTCGGTGGGTCCACGCTCAGATCTCAAGCTGGTTTTAGCTCACTTGTGCCATTACAGAGAGAACATATCTGAAACATAGACTGGTCCCACACATACGGGCAGTCCAGATCTGAAATGCCAGCAAGTTCTCTCTGCACAAGAGATACAGCAACCCCAGATGATCGTTTCAACCTTGTAACGTATCATCAGTGAGGTATAGCCAATATCCCTCTAGGCACCGTGAACAAGAGGTCCACGTCTGGATTACCCTTTACACTTAAGGAGAGAAAAATAAGTAGCAAGGGAGGTGAGAATGGACAACAGCTTAATTAGCAGATCCTGAGATCACTGAAAAAGGATATGAAATGCTAAAGGTCTACCAGGACCTGTCATGGAATACTAGACAGAAGAGGAAGTCCTTTGCAGATAGTACAATAGAACTCAGATCCAAGAATATAAAATACTGGTAGGGGTTCCCCACAAAAATATTTATACTGCATGAAGGCAAGATATTAAGCTTCAGTACGGCAGAGGAACTTAAAAGATGGCTAACTAAGTAAAGAGATATAAAGAATCAACAGGACAATAAATAGGAGGGGAGAATGGAGAAAAGGGGGAGAAATAGGAAAATAAAGTAAAAAGAAAGGACGGGAAAGGGATAGAAGAAAAGAAGAGAGGGGGAAGGGAGGAAAGGCACCTGTGGACTTCTTTATTTATCTTTATTTTATTTTGTGTAATTGTGATGAAGGATGATCTATAGATGTACACAATATAAAGAGGAAGTATATACACTAGTAGAATAAAAATGAATACATTTAGAAATTGCAGACAGCGAGTGATGTGAAGAAATCAGTGGGGTGTGTGTTTTTTTCTGAGAGAAGAGTCACAAGTTAAATAACACAGTCCAAATGTTTGAGGTGTTAATTAATATACACTTAAGACGAAACTGCCACATATGCTTATCAACAAACTAATAAGGGATTAAGAGAGTTATTAAGATTTATTTATTTATTAAGATTATTTATAAGTAAATGAAAAAGTGAAAATTATGTGGGAGAAAAAGAAAAGAACACTGTAAAGTTAAAAATTATTACGTTTTATGGTTTTATGGTTTACTCGCTAGGGGAAATTTAGAGAAAGGACACAAGATGTTAGGGGAATAAATAGGAGGAAAAAACAGTATTGGGGCCAATTACACCTCTACACGATTACAGATTGAAATGAATAGGTCTTTTTTTTTGAGAGAGAGAGAGCGAGCGCCTCTGGGAGAGAACCACTTAATAAACAATTTATATTTAAGTGATGTTTAGAACACTATAATGTAATGTCCTAGGGGTTCTTTGCCAGAGTGATGGGGGACGCAAGTCCATTCCTTTATTTAATTAATCCTTTCTCCTCTGTATGGATTCATTTATATATATATATATATATATATATTATTTTTTTTTTTGGTTCATTGTGATACCCATTAGATGTTTAGGTAGTGACTGGCGTTTCCTAACCCAGCACGCTTACCCAAAGGATATGTGGGTTCATTATCTGAGCAATGGGGGATATTGCTCGAGATATAGAAAGGCAGGGAGTGTTTGCCATACACAAGCTGTGTCTTAGGCTGATTCCTTTTTTTACGACCAGCTTGTCTATGTGTGTAGTTTTAAAACTTTTATTTTTTTTATTTTTTTATATACAATATATTATGATAGCCCTGATGCACAAATTGGAGAGAGAGAGAGCCCTTTGAGTTGGCAGAAATTGTTAAATTAAAGGACCACTATAGTGCCAGGAAAACATACTTGTTTTCCTGGCACTATAGTGCCCTGAGGGTGCCCCCACCCTCAGGGCCCACTCCCGCCGGGCTCAAGGGGGTGGAAGGGGTTAAATTTACCTCTTTCTCCAGCGCCGGGCGGGGGACTCTCCTCCTCCTTCTTGTCGTCATCGGCTGAATGCGCATGCGCGGCAAGGCAATGGCAAGGCAATGAGACAGCCACTAGAGGCTGGATTAACCCTATTATAAACATAGCAGTTTCTGTGAAACTTATATGTTTAAAGAAGAAAGGGTTAATCCTAGCTGGACCTGGCACCCAGAACACTTCATTAAGCTGAAGTGGTCTGGGTGCCTATAGTGGTCCTTTAAGCTAGCATCATTAAACGCCCGTGGGATTAACTCAACATTTAAAAGATCTCTAATTTTGGATTTCCTGAAGATAAACCCAAAACAGGTTTGTGCATTACAAGAAACACATTGGATAAAAACTGACAAAATTAATATAAGATCTATTAATTATCCGCCTATTATAAGCGTGGCTCTGGAAGTAAAAAAAAAAAGGGGGTGGCCTTTATGTTTTCAAAAAAATATATCCATAAATATTAAATACCAAGATCTTGATAAAGGAGGAAGATATATTATCTCGGTGTGCAAAATAAATAATAAACTCTAACAGGGGGTGCTATTAATGATGGGTGCTTCCAACTGTAATACACCATTTTAAAGATCGGAAGAACTTTAATGCAAAAAGTATCAAAGGATCTTCAGATAGAATACAAAATTTGATAGATCAATATAATTTTAGGGATATATGAAGAACGTTTCATCCATTGGAGTCGGACTTGTATTCAAAAACATTCCATTCCTACTCCAGAATCGATCTTATTCTGGGGGATGTGGCCATGCTATACCTTTTTAAAAAGATTGTAATACAGGATATAACATGGTCAGACCATAACCTAATCATATTGGATTACAAAGACTGGCGATTAAACGATAAAATATTATATAAAAATTATATTATTGAACAGATAAAACTTGGATAACAATAATAAGGGGACATCAGTTATTGTAGTATGGTGCACTTACAAGAGCATAATTAGAGGCCACTTTGTAATTACATGGCAGCCAGAATGAAAAAGAAAGACGGCCCCCCACTCTCAGAGCTATACACAGCACTAAATTAATACAAGAAACAGAATAAAATAACACCTTCTACAGAAATAGCAAAGAAAATATCAGAAATAGAACAGAACATAAATGTACAATTAGCAAGAACATTTCTTTCAATCTAAATGGTACCAAAAAGGCAAGAAGCCTGAAGCGCTTATGACTAGAAAGTTGAAAAAGGAAAAAAAAAAAGTGATATCTAGAATTAGGGGATAAAGATACATGCATAATGGCCCCAGAACAAATAGGCGGAGCATTTAAAAAATGTTTTATAGCGATCTATATAATCTACCAGAGGATTTAATTGGTAATGATGAAGAAATTAAAAAAATATTTGAAAATATAAAGATTCCCAAAATTCTGCCCGACAAATTAGAAGCAATAAACCAAGCTATATCTGAAACAGAAGTGATTAAAGCAATAGATAAGCTTAAAGAAAGAACTGCCCCGGGTCCCAGATGGCTTTACGAATACATTTTATAAAATTATAAAAGATCAGTTAAAAGAACTCACAAATGTTTTTAATTACAGGATAAATACAGGAAGATGCCCTGGAGAGTTATTGAGAGCATATATAGTTTCCAATTCCAAAACCAGATAAAGATCCAGAACTGTTGAGTAATTTTAGACCGATTTCATTGATAAACACAGACAAAATATCCTTGTCGATTCTTGCGGAACGACTGAAAGTTGTCATACCAGAGCTAATTAACAACAATCAGGTTGGTTTTATTCCAGGTCGGTCGGTCGGTCATCAGTTAAAAATATCCGGAAAGTAATAGACATTTTGGAGGCAACAGAGACTAAATCGATCCCACTCATGCTCATATCCATAGACGCAGAGAAGGCGTTTGATAGGCCTTTACGTCAGCCACATTAAAACAATTTGGATTAACAGGTCCAATTCTATAAGAGGTATCTGCTCTCTATGAATCTTCACAGGCAAAAGTCATGGAATCCAGATTTACCTCTCAAATTTTCAAAATCAACAACGGGACAAGGCAGGGATGCCCCCTATCCCCATTGTTATACATATTAGTATTAGAACCTTTAGCCATTGCTATAAGAAAAGTCAAAAAAATTATAGGCTATAGATATCAGTTGGGGCAGATTAAATTAAATATATATGCGGATGATATACTACTACCAGAGACCTCTATTCTGGAAGTGCTAAAATATATAAATAGGTACTCTAGAGTATCGGGTTATAAAATAAATTTAGACAAATCAGAAGTCATAGCTAAGAACATGAGTAAGAGATCAGTTAATCTCCTTATAAAAAAGAATATTTTTTTTTTTAAATACTTGGGTATAACCATTGCATCATAGGTAAAAAAGTTAATAGAAGCCAATTTCTTACCCTTATTAAAAAAACAAACAAAAATAAAACATGCGGGACTGGAGGGGGTTGGGATTCTCGTGGTCGGGCAGAATCAATATACTAAGGGCTTATATCTTACCAAAATGGCTCTATTTATGGAGAATAATCCCGCTTAACTGTCCCAAAAACTGGTTATTATTGTTACATGCCTCTTTTTTAAAAATTGTCTGGGATGGGAAAAAAACAAACAAGAGTATATATGAAAAATTTAGCCAGGATAAGACAAGATAGAGGTTTGAGTATATCATTAAAAATAAAATGCTCCAGGAGCTAATCAAAAATTCAATAAATAACAAATAGCAGCTGTAAAAAACAGGAGAATAAATAAATACAGATATCTCAGATTGATTCAAAAATAAGTCCAAACAGAAAGTCCTGAATAGAAACCAATAAAATGCTATTGCAGAATAAAAGGTAAATATATAGTCCAATAGTAAACAAAATATAGCAGGAGGGAGAATCACACCTTACTATGTATATGTAGAATACATAGTTGTGGAGCCCTCTTGCAAACACACTCTAATTCACTGTTACCAGTAAATATATGAATAAAATAAACAAATATAAAAAACTCAAAAATAGAAAAAAAAGGAGAAAGAAAATAAAAGAGGAGAAGCAACACAGTACCTTGGAAAAACTGCTTGCTAAAAATTAAATTAGGAAAAGGAAAAGAAAAAAGAAGGGAAAATGCTTCTGTAAAAAATTAAAGTCTTTAATGGAATATTAATAAAACAAGTTCACAAGATAAAATATAGTATAAAATATGAAGTATGCGAAAAATAGTACCAACAGGATGCTCAATATCACTCTTAGAGAGATCTCTTTCAACGGTTCTCCTGGTGGATAAGGCTTGTGGGAGCTGCAATCCTTGCTGTGGAATGTCTGCCAGGGAAGTCTGCGTACGGTTCACCCAGCATTCCACCCGAAGCCTCACTCCCGTTCTGCTTTCCAATGATAGTGGGGAGGGACAGATCTATGCGTCTGGTCCATGTGGAGATCAATTCTCACTTAGAATGTGTAGAACGTTGCATAGGTAACTCTGATCACTTCAATGAGAATCTCGGTACTGAAGAGCACTGGTTCAAAGTGCTAATTGCCTTACGCGTTTCGTGAGGAACAGCCTCACTTCATCAGAGACTACAATGATTAGCACTTGCAGATAAGCGATACTTTTATATCTACGTCAGTAAGGTATATCTTGGCTTCCAAGACATTCTGCCAGTGCTAGTCGCGGGCTCCCAGTCTGTCTATTACATCTATATGGTACTGGAGATGTATGTAAAGTGTGTGGGGGTATCTTCTTTAGCGACTTTCGTCCTAGTGCCACCACTGGGGTTAACTATAGTGGTATAGCGCTTGTGGCTTTAATTGTGTCAGGAGGTCTCTCTGTGCAGCTAGGTAAGTATGGGTTATGAAAGCGGGAAAAGAGGGTGAGAAAGGGAAAAGAGGGGGAATGTTATCCAGCCTCGTGTATCAAGGGGTCAAATCGGTGAAGTGTGTTTGCGCTGGGGCGCAGGGTTGAAAAAAAAAGGAAAAAAAAACAGGTGTGAGCAGCGTGGTTTCTGCCCTGAGGTTTCGAGGCCCCTGGTGCGTGTCCCCGTTCCCCAGAGGTCTCCCTCCTAGAGGAGCAATCTTATTTCTCGCATTCTCTAACTCTATAGCGTTTAGAAAACCAGTGGCTGTGCCTGTGGCACCTAGGAGAGTGTCATACCACTCTCTCTTCGGTCTACGGGCTGTACACTTGGGTATTTCAAGGAATATAAACGTATAGTTCACATGTATAGCTCTGGCTAAAGTTGACACATTAGTGCAAGTAGCTGGTAATCAAACCAAGTTGTCAGTGGACATTTCTGGTTGTGATGTGACACTGGTTATAATCTGGAGCCACGTCCCTCTATTCGTCATTTGTGAATTGTTAGTGCAGGCAAAGGTATATCATCCTGTCATGTTGATAATCATACTATCACTGACATTCTCTGGTTGTTCACTCATACAAGACACCAGCTGACTCCTTGTATGCCTTCTATCGGTCGACTCTTTTATCTATCCACGGGTGACATTTATTTCTTGTACCCAGGTTACATTGATTTCCGCAACATTTTGCACATACAATCTCCCATGTGGACCCAAATACCATGTTCCGTTGGTTATTGTGATATTTGCCAGTGTGCATTTAGATTATCGCAACAAGTGTAGTTGTTTTGAGTTCTACTTATACTTGCTGTACTCCAGATTCAATGTACTACCCCATCACATGGATATACTTGTGTTCTGGGGGTTGTAGCTCAGATACAGGTATAAGTACTTAAAAAGGATATACAACAGCAAACATGTTACTGGTGGATGTGGTACTAGCTTACAGTGGCTAGCGTGGATCCTCGTTGGTTTTCCTTCAAGCTTCACTGAAGTCACTGTGGTTAAGAACCTGGAATGGACCATCAAATCTAGGTTTCAGGCTTTTTCTCACATGTCTTAATCACTACCTAGTCTACTGGTTGTATCTTATGTGTTGAAGTACTGGTTTCAGGGTCTGGAATAGAATGAAACACTTGTTTATGCACCCTACCTAACCTCTGATTTAGGGCGTGAACATAAGCCGTCATATTGCTATGCTGGAGTTGCAATACCTGAGGGAAATAGAGACCTGTCTTAGAGGCGCATCTAAACAATATTTCAAAAGGGGACAAACTAGTCCTGGGTTGTGGGGTAAATCTCATAGAAAAGAGGGCTAAAGGGTTGGCACTCAGTCCATGGTTTACCTGTCTCTTGCATAACTTTAGCTATCTTGCTTTTCAATTTGCCATTTGCCTTTTCTACCTTACCACTACTCTGATAAGGGGTATGAAAAGCCTGCCTTATGCCTAATGCTTGCATGATTTCACCAGTAAAATGGCTCTCTGTCACTTTCAATTACTTCAGGTACTCTGTATCTACATACCAATTCCTTCAATATCTTATTTGCTGTGACCTTCACTGTGGGTTTCAAAACTGGATAGGCTTCAGGCCAACCTGTAAAGAGATCAATGCACACCAACACATATTCAAACGCTCCTACCTTAGGCAGTTAAATATAGTCTATTTGCAGTCGCTGAAAGAGGTAAAGAGGCCTTGGCATGTGCTTACTGGGTGTCTTGGTGTTGTTCCTTGCACAGATCATACAGATCATATAGTACATTAGGTAAGCAGGTCTTTTCTCCTTTGGTTTTCCAAATATCTTTGATTGCTCCCATCTTCATTCACTTCTGCTTCTCTTCCTTTGATTTCTGTTCTTGAAGCTTCTGTAGCAAATCCAGAGGCACTGGCTTACGAGGCTGGAGGGACTGAATGGAAACAGACCTCTGCTTACCTGATTTGTCCTGCTACTGGGCACTGGCAGCTTGTTTGGCGGCTGCCTCTGCTCGATCATTTCCTTTGGCGATGTCGTCTAGTAGCTTGGCACAAGCGGCTACCTTAATAAAGGACGCTATAATGGGTGGGTAACATTATAGCGTCTGTGACGGTAGTAGAAAATATCCCCGTCAAGCATTCCCTTCTTCCCATAAGAGAAAAGCATTCAATATTCCATGAGCAGAAATATCCCTGGAATCGCCGAATAATCCACACATGAGCCAAAGCTTAATGCTGGAACAAGACTGATTTACTGGCACACAGAACTCACAATTTATGCAACACAAAACTCCTCCTCTGGGCCAGGCTAGATAATTGAGTTTCTACAATACACAAAGCTCAATTATCTGCTGGCCAGAAACATTACAATTTATTACAATTTCTAACAATTTCAGAAACATACTTTTTATAAGACATACAAATATACTTTTGACATCCCTGGGTAGCTGAGGATACTGGTAGTCACATATCCAAATCTCACGAATTTCCGTTCGGTAGTTTCCGTGTCGCATCGTGTGGAAGTTTGACCGGCTTGCCATGTGGAGGTATCCGAGTTACAGTTCCATAGAATCAGTAGCAAGAGCCGGTCTCCGTTCGCATCTAACTACACGAAAACCACCGTTCGTATGGTTCAGCTGGTTACCTGTGAATGTTCCCCTCATTCGGTAGATACTATCTACCGAACGCCAGTTTGATTCGTGAAGGGGAACGTATTCATCCAGGACTTCCATGGGGACCGGGCGTTCGCATGGTTCCCGTACCGAAAACAGTTCCATGTAATTCATGCGTAAGCCCCGCTGACCGCATTTGTGAGTTTTAAGATGGCCGCCATCCTTTGTTCTCGCCACGTGTTCGTATGTCGAATAGCGGCCGCCTAGTAGCAATTAAGTTGCGGTTTTCTCTGTGTTCTAATTGCTACTTGCTACCCAGGATGTGTGGTCCCCGTTCGGTATACGAATACATTCATTCTCAACAGTTTGAACCGAACAATATAGACATTAAAATAGCAGGGAGAGGATTAAACTGAAGCATATAGGCAAATACATAAAAGTCCTTCACAGCGTCCATAAGCGCACTTACTGGTTCTGGGTTTTTGATTGGAATTCCTGCAGAGGTAAGAAAGTCTATTGCCCTCCAGATGGGGCCAGTTTCTTGTGCCATTAAAGCAGCACAATCATGGTGTACCTGTATATCTTGCAAATCCTCAGGGGAGAGAGAATTTTGAAAGAGGTCAGTTTTACAATCCTCCTTAGTCCCCTCTTGTAAATATATCGGCAACAGAGTAGATGGATTTAATACTATACACCTCTTGGGTGACATGGGAAGGCATAAGAAGGGCACACTGCATTCGCAGATGACGAGCAGTATGGATGTACTTGGGCTTAACTTGACTGAGAATGCTATTGATATCATGTGGGCTGTGAATGCTGACAGGGTGATCCACAGCCGCCATCAGGGCATGACAACCATAACGGCCTGGGGGGCCCACACTTTGAACCGTGTCAGGGGCCCCAAAATTTCTGATGGCAGCCCTGGGGTGATCCAAAATAATGTCAGCTGCCTTGTCAAGGAGGGCCGTGACAGCTGCTATGGCTCTGACACAGGATGGAGCCCCTCTATCAACCGGGTCTAGCCGGAATGATTAGTAAGCAACAGGGCTTTGCTTTTGACCACAGCTATAGCGTAGCCAGATTGTTCAGTACAATACATATTAACTTCTGGAATAAAAGGGAATCATGATATGACCCCTTAAGGGGTTAAAAGGCTTAGCATAGTCAGGGAGCCCTAAAGCCGGGGCGGACAGGAAAAGCAATTTTAGAGTGTGAAAAGCTTCTTCAGCCTCAAGAGAGAGCTAGAAAGAGTCAGAAGACAGGCAATCATATAGGGGTTGCATATGGATAGCTGCTGAGTGTATCCAAGGTCTGCAGTATGAGACCAGGCCTAAAAAGCTGTTGGAGCTGTTAAAGGCTACTGGGAAAGGGAATCTTTTGCACACAAACAGTTGGTACAATAATACCGGCAGACAATAATTGTTTAATGGTTTCAGAAATAGAGTCCTCTTGAGCAGGGACCTCATTGAGATCTGCAGATAACGCTGGTGAGGGGGCAACCATGTTTAATAGGACATTTACCAGAGTCTCAGAAAGCTAAAGAAAGGTGTCAGTGCTTAATGTTGAGGATAGTGAGATAGTACTGTCAGGGTTGTAGGTGAGGGTGGCATTAATGGCAGATAATACATCGCTGCCTAACAGGTTGTAGGGAACATGTTGGCTAACCAACAGCCGTGTAACTAGGGCTATGGAATCAAGAAGCCGGAGCTGCACTTCATGCGACAATGGAGTAAAAATAGGGGAACCGCCAAACCCCACACAGGATATAGTGTCAGACAATTTTTCAAAGGGAAAAATATATTTTTTGTGCACAACAACTGGCTGCCTCAGTATATACAAGGAAAGGAATGGTTCTATTACCTGGTAGGGTGACAGGACTGAGGGAGATGGACCCATACCATTAGATACTTTTAAGACATGCATGTTTACTGGGTTGCCAATTACCTATTCTGCGGAGGTGTTATTCTGAGAAGTAGTATCAGTAGCATTTTTTTTTTTGGGGGAGGAGATCTGTTGGGCAGGGCTCCTGCTCTGGGCTCCACTATTCCATCAGGTACCACACCTCACTTGGAATCTACCCCTGCCGCCTTGGTTAAACCCTTCTCTACCCCTGCCTCGCGGGGCGCCTCTAAAGGCACCTCTTCTTTGGTAGCCCTGAACTGATATAATGTGGAAGGTTTTATCTTCAGGGCCTCTATATGCTTCTGCTCCTTTTGCTACCTTTACCAGGTCGCCGTAAGGGAGACTGTGCCATTCTGCGCGTGCTGACTTGAGGCCAGATGATATTTGGGGAAGTAAGCCTTCCTTGAAACAATTATACAACAGGCGTTGTGCTAGAGCATCCGTTTCACTATAGCCCAAGTTCTTCCATCCCAAATATAACTTGGCAAAGAATCTTTCTACAGATTCTGTTTTATCCTGAGTGAGGTCTGTGAGCTGACTTGACAGATCCTGCATGTGACAAACGCCCTTTGGCCTGGTCGTTCACCAAAAGCTCCTGGAGGAGCCTTCTTGCCAGCCTTCTGCCCACAGACTATGGGCCCTGCAGGGAAACCTGTAAAAGACAGTTTAAATGGCTTGGTTCGTGTAATTTCCTTATACCGGGAACCGAACAACTGCACGAACCAGGGACCACCAGGGAGCTTGTTAACCCCTATTAACACCTTGGAATGGTTCTCACCTCAGTGTTCTAATTGTTCGTCTGGGTGGCCGCAATTCGTATGAACGACCACAAGGTGGCGGCCATCTTGCTCACATGAATGCAGACAGTGGTGTTTGGTCGTCGAGTTCATGGAACTAAAATCGGACATTGAAACTCCCGAACACCACTGGACTTCCATCATCGCCTGCGTCAGGTTTTGTAGATCCTAGAAGAACACTGTTCGGTAGACAAGTTCCACAGTTCAAATATAGACTACATTTAGTAATTCTTTCATTTTTTTTGTTACCGAAGTTGACCGACCACTAGCACTGATTTCATGGAACTATTTTGGGTTTAAGCCACATGTGCGGTCGGTCAAAAACGGGACTTCCATGGAAAACCCGAACCCGTGAACCGATCTGGGTGATTTTTGGATATGTTAGTCACCCAGATCGGGGCTTTCTGGGGATGTGACTTTTGTGGGGATTTCGTGTATGTGTATTTTGGGGTGTTTTATAAACTGTTGTATTTAAATTATAAATTGCGGCGGAACCAACCTCGCCACTGTCCACTGGAGAGGCCTGGTTGCTCGCCTGCTCCCTTTAGACTATGGTCCTGCATTTTAAACTATTATTTTACCGGCAGAAAGGTTTATTCGTGCCTTTCTGCGGACTGTTAAAGCCATGCTACCCCAGATAGCTATGCCATGGAGCCCAGCCGTATACTGAAAGACTGTATGAAAGACTTTGGCTCCATGGCGATTGAACTGTATTTATGTGATCTGAGCGCCATTCGGTAGTAATGTGCACTCAGATCTAAGCTATCTGGGGATATGTAGAATGTCTATGTTTTATGGAATAAATGTAACTGTATGTAATTTTATGTATTTTATTGTATTGTTACTGCCATGTGGTTAATGGAGTCTTGCCTCTGTCCTGGGAGATAATTGGATTACTTCACAATTATCTCCAGGACAGAGAGGAGGGATTGTGATGTAAATGTGGGTGTGTTTTATGGTTCTCCTGTAAACGATTGGTTGTACTGTGTCCCAACCTGTGGGATGTCCCCTTGCATGGGGACTTGCATAAAAGCCAGTGAGTGGCCATTACAAGTGAGATTCTGCTTAACCCTCAAACGAAGTGTCGTCTCATTATTGGGGGAATTGGATTGTATGCTGTCTGCCAGGAGTGTAAACCTTTCGTATGGTTTTTCCTGTTCAGCTGTTTCCAGTATTCGTGAGTTTCCTGTTCAGGAGTTGGAGAATTCGTGTAGTTTGCAGTTCGGGAGATTGGTGCTTGCAGTAGCTGTCTGTGCATCTGAAAGGGGAATATCGCCTAAACGGTTTTTAACCTCTTGTGTGCAAAACGGTCCGTTACAATTGGTGGTAGCGGTGGGATCATTCCCACAGCCCAGAAGGACAGCTACAAGGTAACACCATTCCCTGGACTTACAAACTGAGGGTAACGCTAGTACCCGTACAGCGACCCTATCTACAAAAGAGCCAACTTCAGCAGAGCAAGCATGGCACCCAACTACACTCAGGAGGAGTTCGACGCTATGCTGAAAAGCCTGCTGGCTTTCTTCGGACCCAATCCAGAAGAGAAATATGTACAAAACACAAGGAGAAGAGTGGCAGAGTACCTGCAGTTAAAAGCAGATTTAGCCAGGGGGGAGAGACCCCAGCGGCCGAGCAAGTCCCAGGGAGCTGAAGGTGCAATCCTTCCTCCCCAGCGGCAGTGTGTGTTACAGGGAGCTGAAGGTGTCGTCCTTCCTCCCCAGCGGCAGTGTGTGTTACAGGGAGCTGAAGGTGTCGTCCTTCCTCCCCAGCGGCAGTGTTTGTTCTTAGGAGAGGAGACAGTTGGTCCCTCTCCACAGCAGTCAAGTGAGTCCCAGGGAGCCAAAAGTACCATCCTTCCTCCCCAGCGGCAGTGTGTGTCCCAGGGAGCTGAAGGTGTCGTCCTTCCTCCCCAGCGGCAGTGTGTATTACAGGATTGTGGCGGAGGTGAGTACCTCCAAGCTCCTGGGGCTCAATGCCGTTACGGTGTTCTATGCCGCCGTAACGGCTTTAAAGCCCACTTAATGCGGGAAGGCATAGAACGCCGTAACGGTGTTAACGGGTTAATTACTCACAGGCAGAATACACACATTTTTCCCAAAACACAGAAAACACCACATATCCCCATAAATTATACATCACATAGCCCTGATCTGGGTGAACAACATATCCAAAAATCATCCAGATCAAAGCAGAGGTTCAAAAAAGTTTTGCGGAAGTCACATTTGACCGACCGCAAGCATGGTTTTCATGCCCAAAATAGTTCCACAGATTTAGGCTGTGCAGCCGGTCTATCTTCTCTTCTATCCTGGAGATAATTGGCTTAAGTGGCCGTAGTAACTTAATTATCTCCAGGTACAGGAAATATCTCTAAGTCAAAACTGTTACAAAAACCACATAAAAATACATAACTCATATAATACAATGTTTAACCTATATGTTCATATCCCCAGATAGCTTGGATCTGAGCGCTCACTATGTCCGAAAAGCGCTCAGATCTTAAGAACACAGTTGGATCGCCATGGGGTTAAACAATAGCAAGGGCTTATGGGAGATTGAGGAGGGACAAAGCAGCCAGTTTCAACTGGTCTGGCAGTGTCCCTTGGACAACGTCCTGCGGAAGAACAATAGGACAGGAAAAAGGGGGAGAGGCACATTTTCCCATGGATTTAAAGGAGCAGAAAAAGTGTTTTAAAATCAAATAAGCCCAAATAGACTGCTTAAACAGCAGTACACCCCAGGGGCTATAGTCACAGGAAAAGAGGCTGGCAAACAGGCCAAAAAACAGTGGCGAAGGGTAGTTCGTCACAGTGTTCCTACAAGAAGGTTTAGGAAACAACATTGTTAACAAAAAAGGAACACTATTACTTGAACATATACTATCCAAAAATCCCTGTTATCTATTTCTTACCTAAGATACATAAAAATCAAGATAACCCCCCAGGTAGGCCCATTGTCTCCGGGATAGATTCCATACTGTCTAATTTATCTGAATATATAGATATTTTATTGCAGCCATCAGTCAAATTAATGAAGTTCTATCTTAGGGACTCTATGACTCTTCTGCATTTTTTAATGCTTTCAACAAATTTTTTTTTAAAATCAAAAACATTTTTAAATAAGGTCTGACTGAGGGAGGGTCTAACTGGTGACAATGACTGAGGGAGGGAGTGACAGAGTGAGGGTGTCAGAAATAACTTTTTCCCCGGCCCCTTCCCGATGTTGGGTCCTCTGCTTCTAGCTCAAAGCCGGGCTAAAAGAAAAAATTAACAACCTGCCCGGCGCCTGGAAGTGCATGTTACGGGCGATAGGGATTGTGCATCCCTGATTTCAATATACAACACAGTATTTTGTTTGAGCTTCAGATTTGTCACTGGAAGCTTTGTCTTGTGGACTTCCATTCAAGTCTTTTCAAAAGTTTCCTACGTTGGTCCTGTTTTGGTCAGTTATTGTTGTACAGAATGATGTGTGAAATCAAGGTCTTTTGAGATCTTCCTCTCTTTAATGTGTTCTTTGAGAACAAAGTAGTATCTGATTTTCACCAAAATTACTTCTGAAAAACCTATTCACTTAAACTAGAAGGTCCCCTTAGTGGTCCTCTTTCCATCCCCCTTTCCAGAAGAGGAGCAGAGTACGAATGCACTAGATATGGCTTAAGATCTCCAGACGTATACCGGGAGAACTCGTTATAGTCGTATTGCATCCAAGACTGTCTTGGTTCAGTTTGGTTACAAGCATAATACATAAAAGATAACAATGCCTACAAAGCTTTGGTTAAATTATGTGAAGACCCCAGGTGTAATCAGGTCCACTTTAAATCAAAAGTTCTGTGGAAAACAACTGTTAAAAGAGTCCCTATCTGCTTCCAGTAGGTAGCCACCCGGAGAAAGCTCCACCACATGGGCACATACAAGACACAAAGGTATCTGGATCTCCAGCAGGCATTGGTAGAAATATTGTGATGAACTAAACTACTAAATGATAAACAAAGTCAAAGAAAACACAATTAATCAAGTCAAAATGTAGGTGAAATAAAATGTGTTTATTACAAGTAACAAACTGTTATGTTTGCAAATTTTCTCTTAAATTGTCTAATAATTTAGTACCATAAGCTTTCATTGTGATAAACTCCTTCTTTCATTACCATCTGACCAGAACACAGTCTCCATTTTCGACCGAGTAGAACTGCAGGGATTTTAAATCATTTTCAAGTTCAATTTCTCTACCCTCCATCTGCAGATGAAAAAAAAATTAAACAAAGGTATTCAATATAGATTTAAATATAGAAAAAATAGAAAATCACTACAACAAGATCGGGGTAATAAACCCTGAATTGTTTATAAACAATGTATTTCTTTTCATTTCAAAGACTAGCTTAACTCCTTAAGGACTGAGCCAAATGTACACGTTGTGAACTGTATTGGTTATGGGCAATGATAAATGTTCTATTATTGTGTTCCCATTCATGTGCAATAACTTATGATACCTATAGGGGGTGTAGTGAGCTATGTGACATTAAGAGTAAGAAGATGGCTGCTGCATATTTAATGAGACATGTGCTTTAGGGAGGAAGTGACCTATAGGTGGCCTAGTGAGCACTGTGACGTCGAGTGAATAAAGATGGCTACCGCATAGTCAATGAGACATGTGCTTTAGGAAGGTATTGAGAATTCTTAAGTCACTTCCTTTCACAAAGGACCACATGTAGTATCCGCCTCCTAGAGATGACCATTAGGTATTGGTTATGTTACCTCTGTGGGTGGATACCAGATGGGAGGTTATTCAAGGGGTTTCCAGAAACTAGAGTCTCAGTTTCATGACTGGGTCGGAGGAAGCCAGGTGTCTTTAGAGGTGCCCATGTAAATCCATTTAACATGTGGCAAGGAACTCACCTCATTGTTCTGTGTGTTATGCTGATTCAATTATCCTGTGTAAGCTGCTGAATCTCCATGAATAGAGCTAAGTAGATTTCTTACCTGAATGTATTGTTTATAGCAGTGTGTGTTTTTAAAGTATTTGTTTCTTTTTTGTGTGCTTGATAATTGTATTCCCAGTAAAGTTTTGTTTATACTTTCATCAAAACTTTGCCTCTTGTCTGTTCATTCAAGATATTCACTAATATTTATGTGATTGACCAGTATACCTTTTATTATTTTATTTGTGGTATTATTTTATATTTATGCAATTCAGAACTTCATAAATATAAAGAAATTACTTAATTTACCATTACATGAACGAAACAAAATGTAAACAAAACCTGGCATTTGCGCTACATGTCTGTCCAACCGTAATTCACCTCTTTCATATTAAATGCACCCACCCTTATTATATATCATTTTATTCAGGGGAAACAGGGCTTTCATTTAATATCAAATATTTAGCTGTGAAACATAATATAATATGAAAAAAATGGGAGAAAATAAGAATTTCTTAAATTTTTTTTTAGTTCTATGTGACATTTTAACTGTCAATGTCATAATACTGTTTGCTTTTAATGCAATAAAATACACATATTTGTATTCAGCAAAGTCTCATGTGTAAAACAGTACCCCCTATGTACAGGTTTTATGGCATTTAGGGAAGTTACAGGGTCAAATATAGCATGTTACATTTGAAATTGAAATTCGCCAGGTTGGTTATGTTGCCTTTGGGACTTTATAGTAGCCCAGAAATTAAATTTACACCTATAATGGCATACCATTTGCAATAGTAGACAACCCAAGGTATTGCAAATGGGGTATGTCCAGTCTTTTTTAGTAGCCATTTGGTCACAAACACTGGCCAAGCTAGTGTTCGTATTTGTTTGTGTGTGAAAAATGCAAAAAACGACTATTTTGGCCAGTGTTTGTGACTAAGTGGCTACTAAAAAAGACTGGACATACCCCGTTTGCAATACCTTGGGTAGTCTACTATTGCAAATGGTATGCCATCATAGAGGTAATTTTCATTCTTGGGCTACCATAGGGTCTCAAAGGCAACGTAACCAATCGAATTTTAATGTGAAAAAAATGAAACACAAGCCTTATATTTGACGCTGTAACTTTTGAAAACACCATAAAACCTGTACATGAGGGGTACTGTTGTAGTCGGGAGACTTCGCTGAACACAAATATTTGTGTTTCAAAACAGTAAAAAGTATTGCAGCACTAATATCGTCCGTGTAAGTGCTGTTTGTGCGTGAAAAATTAAAAAAACTTAACTTTTACTGGCGATATCGTTGTAATACATTTTACTGTTTTGAAACACTAATATTTGTGTTCAGCGAAGTCTCCAGAGTAGAACAGTACCCCACCATGTACAGGTTTTATGGTGTCTTGGAAAGTTATAGGGTTAAATATAGTGCTAGCAAATTAAATTCCCTTTACTTTCGGCATGGGTTGTCAGGCAGGTCCCGCTAATTTTAATTAATTAAGATTCCTAATTATGTAAAAATATTACATAAATATATATGTAGAATTAACATATGTATATATATATATATATATATAATTTAAAAAAAATATTTTTATTTATATATAGGTATATATATATATAGTGATATATACGTATATAGATTTATATATTTCGTTCTACGTGTATTTTGATATAAATATATATTTTAATATCACAATACAGTTAGAACGAAATAACACACATCTATATATTTTTTAATTATTTTTTTAACATATTTACATTTTTTTTATATTAGATATAAATATATATAACAATAATTATATATATGTATATATATATATATATATATATAATCAATATTGGTCTACGTGTAATTTGATATTTATATTATATATATATATATATAGTAAAATACACCTAGACACTATATGTGTGTGTATGTGTGTGTGTATATATATATATATATATATATATATATATATATACATATATATATATATACTTAGATCATATTTTGCATATATTATATATATTATATATATATTATATATATATATATATATATATATATATATATTTATATATATATATATATATATATATATATATATATTACACGTATTAACATTTATTTTATTTCCAGCCAGCAGGGGGACTACCTGTCATTACAGGCAGTCCCCCTGCTGGCAATGCAGCAGGCAGCGAACCCTGCCATGTGATTGTGAGGTGCTCGCAAGGACCTCACTCTCACATGGCCGGGGGGGCTGCAGGAGGGAAGATCTGCCGCGGGGGGGCTCCCTGGTAGTCCCCCCAACCACGATCGCCGGCGTGGGGCTGCCAGCGACTGGGTAAGTAAAGAAAGAACGGAGGGCGTACTATTACGCCTGGCAGCGTTTAGAGCCTCCTAAAATAGGGTGTAATAGTATGCCATCCGGTCTGAAGGGGTTAATTGGTGAAGATGTTTCACAATTATTATAGACCAATCTCAAATCATAACAAAATATTAAACAGAAAAAATATATATATATTTTTTTTTAATGGGAAAAAAAAAAACGAAACCCCCCCCCACACATTTTCCCTCAACTGTACATTTACAAATGTCTACACATCAAGTGAAAATAAAGAAAACTAACTCAAACTAGATTCTCTAATTAGTTCTGATTGCTAAAATGCCCAATATGTCTAGGATTTCAATTTTTTTTTAGAAGTTATAAAAAAAAAAAAAATACTGCAAGGAGTGAATTATGGTTCTAAAGCTTACTTAGCAAAATTTGACATGCTGAGATTACAACTCTTATAGTAGTCACAAAATGCAAAACCGCTACACAAAAGTGGGAGAAATGGGGGATATTATATAAAATATATTTTATTTTAAGGAATTTTACTACTGCAAACATATCATTGCATTTTGCTACTGTTCTCACGTACAATGATACACTGCTTGTATACGTTTTCCCCTAATCTGTTCCCTAAACCAGGCTTAATCAAACCCCTAATCCAACCCTTAACTTTTCCTGC